CTCATTCTTATAAAGCAAAGTCAACCTATCTAAAGAATTCATATATCACTCCAAGTATATCAATAGTATTTCATATACCAACCCCAACATTTCAACAGGAATTCATATATCACCCCAACATTTCAACAGTACCAGTTTTTCATATACCAATCCAATATTTCAACATGAATCTTATATACCTTTCCAACATTTCAACACGATTTTTCTATACCTCTAATATTTCAACACAAATTTTATATACCTTTCCAACATTTAAACATGAATTTTATACACCTCTCTAACATTTAAACATGAATTTTATACACCTCTCTGATATTTAAACAGGATTTCTATATACTTCTCCGACACTTCAACAGGATTTTTATAAAACACATAAAACACCTATTGGATTTTCATATACTTCTCTAACATTTCAATAGGATTTTTATATACCTCTCCAACATTTCAAAGTTTCCATAGCACTTCAAATGCCACTCTAAGTAATTCAATAGATTCTATACCTACATGTAACACTCCAAATATTTCAGTAAGATTTCATATACCATTCTAAACATTCCTACAGGATTCAGAAACCTATATAAATATTACTAATACAAAAACAAATTAAAACATTTAGAATGAAGTTTGAAATGAGTGGTAATAGATGTAAATTAATTCATGAAGAAGCTGTAGAGAATCGGAATGTGACATTGTCAAAATAAAATCTAAAATGTTCCCTAGTCAGAATGATTGACAGAGCTAATAGCTGTATATTTTAAATGGTCATACATAAATTTTCTTTTGTTTTTCCTTATAAAATTATCTAGGATTAAAAGCTTCTGCCTCTGTGATTTAATCCTTTAGATAATCAACTGATACTTCTAAGTGAAATCATGACCTCAATAGCTACACCAACTCCATGGACAAAACAAAGAAAATGCAAACTCAAAACTATACAAATACTATCGTCAGGAAAAATTTGTCTTTGTACGTGTAAGTGTTGACGTGGCCAGTTTTGGTCAGGTGTACCTACGCAGGTTAACACAAATATGTTTACCTGGATTAGAGATAAGGGTATAATCAGGCATACACTGACAAGTACTATTCTGCCTTCCAAATGATACAAACTTGAATAGTTCATGTAGTGTAAACATTTACCAGCACTCATCAAATATAATTAATTAACCTGGTAAGGGAGAGGAGGGAATGAAAGTTAAAACTATTCGCCTGAACAAAGTTAAAACTATTCGCCTGAACAAGTCTCTCATCTAGTAAAAATTAAAATATACAATTTTTATACGTCTTAGGATTGGGGTCTAGTATTTATCTATCTGTGGTAATGGTACTTATGTTCAAACAACATGTTGCAATTCGAAACATTTAGATTTTTCACCAAATTGAATTAATTATAGATCAAAAAAGGTTTTGAATTTTGTAAGCTTTCATAATTCAAAATTCTAAATCAATCTTCATCTACCATTAATCAAATTTAAGGATTTTTAAGATTTTCAACCAAAATATTAAATATTTAAACTAACAATTTTTGACTTTTCGCGGAGATGCAGAAACTAAAACCAATGGTGTGACAAAGACTAGCTATAATTAACCTATTATTTATTAGACCTTTTTACTTATCAGTTGTTAACAAGACTGAAATCCTTTCTGGAATCATATTTGTTTATGACAACTCACATGTTTAGGAATTCTAACATACATATATGTTTGCCATTTGCTTTCCATGCTGCTTGCAGCAAAAAGCACTTAGCCACAGCCTTCTTGGTTTAAGCTATTCAGAAGACATTGTTGGAAGGTTTTGACTTATTTTCATATCACCATACAAATATAAACAGCAGGGCCACAAAGACTTTAATCTGGCAAGCTAAATCCCTTTTAACTACATAATCAAGCCCTCATCTTCCATCTCTAATGCATTTTTTTTTAAAGTTTCATTATAACCATGAATAATGAATTGATTCCAAATAAAGGCTTAATATACATGCATTACACGCCATGATAAACAGTAAAAGACAATATTTCAGACTAGTATATGTAAACTCTAAAAAATTATTTTCATTTAAGTTAAGACATCAATTTTATGTACGTAATAAATATCATAATGCATATGAATTTAATTTTCACTTGAGCTGATAAGACCAACTGAAAATGACTTTTATCCATAACTTGAGCTGATGAGACCAACTAAAAATGACTTTTATCCACATCCTAATCCAACATAAAATTACCAAACATGAAGAAGTGATAAGAATACTTAATTAGAGGTCTAGAGTTATCAACAAGGCTAGCTTATGTATGAAGATATACTAGCAGCAACAATGATGTTAATTGATATATGGGTTAAGTCCATGTTTTCTGACACTTCAAATAAGGGAACATTTTTCCTGACTGCCTCTCTGACATTCATCACCTGTAAATGCCTATATAACATCAAGTCCTGAAACAGATGTGTCGGACACTGATTACCACAAAATTTCATCTCTTCATACCTTCAACAGGTCTTTAACTCCCAATACACATTATCTTTCTGAAGCTATGGAAAATAAACACATTTAATAATGTTAATTACTTTCATAGGTCATGGCAATCTTTAAAAGTTCATAAATAAATCTCTTCAGTATTCACCAGACCTTATTTTACTGAACACAAACACTAAAAACAGTGACTGAAAACTTTGCCTGATAACCAGACTATAGCATGAACTGTACTCAATAGGCTTAGATAAGATAAGGTAAACATTCCTAAACTCGCCATCAGTAAAAATGTTCTATTTTGATGTGCCATAAATTCCTTGGTTTTATTGTAGTTTTGATTAGTCTAACATCAGACCATCACTAGATTGTAGGAGATGCTCCAGTAGAGAAAGGATTTTTTTTCAACAATTTGATACTGTTACCAAAATAACCATGACCAATCCTAATGAAAATGCAGGTATATAACCATTTGACGCTGAGAATAGCTGATCTCTTACAACATCAAATAGATTTCATATTGGTACTGATCAATTCTTGGATATAGAAATCCAAAGACAGTTACACAAGTATTATTGCTTTATACATGGACAATTAAATAAAGCAAATCAACGAGCAGAGATACCGGACATTAAGTTGAAGACTTTAATTAATCTAAAACTTTGATTGTGCTGTTAGGACCATAACGACTGGGATGATAGAGTCACTTATTAATGTATGACAGTATTAATGTATTAGATGCAATACCAAAATACAATTCAGTGATGTCATATCCTTTAACATTGATAAGAACAAAAAATGGTATGTTTCTGAAATTAAAATAATGCACCAGAATGAACACAGTGCATGCAGAGACTCATCAATTCGCTGAAGATTAATTGTTTATATAATGTAATTTTGACTAAGGTAATTTATCATCCTAGATGTTAATGCTATACATTTCATTATTTTACAGACTTTTATGATGTAACAGCAACTTCTCATTTCTTGTGAGTACAAAACATGCATACATACTGTGCTGTGAAATCTGACATCTGAACATTGCATCATATATTTATACATAAAAAATGTTTAAAAAACGTTCTCTGATATTTGATAATGGTCTCTGTCTTATTGTAAGGGGAATAGGTAGTAATATACTGATGTATAACCTGAAGCTTGTGATTACATTGTGTCAAGAATAATGACTGTTTTCTGCATTTTTTAAAACAAGTGTTGTATACTAACCACAGGTGTGAAGTACAATGTTGATGACTTCATTAAAGCCTTCATGATATACAGTATAATTTGTTGTTATATAAATGATGTAATTAATTCTTACCTGGTTGACAGACATACATGCTTTTCAATTACAAATGTTCATGAATATGGTAAATGTTGCATACAACTAATTTCTATATCTAAATGAGAAAATAATGTTAAAATTTATGTTTCACTTTAGAGATTTAGCCGGCCATGGCTTTCTAATCTAACGTTGTAACAAAAACAGACTCTCCTCTTTCAATGTAAAAAACAGATGTCATTGAATAGGGATGCTTGAAAAAGGTATGAAATGGATAAAGTTTTCCTAAAAAATCAGAGAAGACCGTTTATGCTATGGAATATTGCAATACATACTGCTATCAATTCATCAAAGAATACCACAGAAAACATGCATAGATGTCTTGTGTACTGTTTGAACAAATAAAATGAGTGTTAAAATATCTTTCTTCAATGGAAGAAAAAAATAGTTACAAATAAGTTGATGTTCTTGAATGACAATAGATTATGTCTATACATGGATACTGCTTTGTCAGTCAGATTAAGTTTTTTATCATAAAGTGAAATTTGGGTCTAACTGCCTTAGACTAACATGGTACTGGCTGCAATAATGATAAAAATCTTTTAAGGGAAAAATGTGACATTCACCCTGAAATTTTCAAATATCTACCCAGCAAACATTTAGAAATCTAAACAATTGACCACACATCAACTAGACCCACTTTTGTGGTATGAAATTATCATGACCAATGTAGTTCCTTCAACACCATAAGTACTTCAAACAGTTGCCTGAATGCTTTCATGTTTTTGTATATTTCAGTTTTCAACACATAACAACAAATATCCTGATTGACAGTTCTAAGTAACAAACTAGTGACTGTGATAACAGTGACTAATGAAAGATAACAGCAATAAAAAGAATTTTACTATCTGAATGTAACCTTTCACGACAATCGCTTTCACATTACAGTCAAGTGTTCAATACAGTTGGTATAATATGAGAAATGATGTTCTGTCACAATTCGGCAGTAGATGACAAATGATTGACAGTTGAATATAGTATATCCGGTGGACCAGTCTGTTGACCCTCGGAGCAGTGGACACACGTGTCTGGCCAGTGGTATCTCTAGACCTACGGGGAACTCCTGTGTGGGACATTCCACACCTGTCACCGGCTCCTCCATGATACTATGCGTTTTACTATAGGCCTACAGTACAGTAAAGAAAGTATACGAAGCTCCCTGACGTATCAGGTTATAATTGTTGTATACTTACAGGGCTGTTGTAGGATTTGAAAGCATAAATCACAATTCCTACAATCCATATTGTTCCGAGGAACAGCACAAACCGATACTTTCGTCGCAACATCGAGGTGGTGGACTGTTTTACTTCATCCTGTAAGGGCTTCCGCTGCTCAACTACCTTGACCAATCAAAACTGTGGATTTTCACAAGTGCGATGTATGTCAACATTAGTTGCCACGTGCTTCCGGTTAGAGCTGTCAAACTTTGTCACGTGTATAAGAATTAAACGGGTTCAAAATACGACATATAATTATGACATATTTATGTGATATACGGAGAACAATTAATTTGGAAGTTTTCGGGACCAGGAAACCGAAAATTAATGAAACTTGTTTAAAAACAAATAATAGCTGTAGGGGCGGAGCATGGAATACATATACTTGTAGCGAATTACTCCTAGAATGTTTATAAGAAGGTTATATCAAGTCTGTGTGAAACTTATATACCATCATATCACATCTACACTAAAATTGTTCTTAATAGAATATAATGAAGGCCCTGGTAACTCTCCGTGACTTTACCAGACATAGATATAACTAATTAGGGAACTAATGAAAGTAAACTACAGGGACCAGAAGAGACGCATCTAAAAATTCTAAAATAACTGAGGAATACAATAAGTCATCTTTGGTGGATATATTCGACAAACCGTCCCTTTAAGCTGAAGTATGGTAAGCGATAATAACTGCAATAATTCATTTCGAGTAAAAAGAAAGTATCACCCAGGAAACACAGACCCGTAAGCTAGACAATTGTAACAGATCAGACATTGGGAAAGCTAGTGTAGGAATAATAGTGTCGGACATACGGACAAAGACAACCTATTAAGTCCTAAACTGTTCACGTTCATCTCGGGAAGGTCAACGCAGCCACAATTGCCATAAGTGTTTGAAGAATATGAACAGAAGTTTAAACATATTTTGTGATGAAATCAAAACAGGATTGGACACAAGTTAATTAAAAAAACTTATCGACGTCGTCTCCCATATAACATACATACAGGTTGTATAAATAACGGCAAAATGCACGTCCGTGTGTAGTCATCGCCATTTTGAAAAGCCAGAAAAAAACAGAAGTTATGACAATGGCGTTGAACTGAATGCCATATATACGAATATATATTTGAATGAATTTGAAAAAGTGCCACGCCTGTGTGTTAAAAAATGTTAAAATATATGTAATATACTGTAAAATCTAACTAACAAATGCCAACATACGGGTAACTTCAGTTTAGTCTCTAAAACATACTCGGAAGTATACTGAGCCCTATTTATTTTGTTACGTGACCGGTCCTCCAGAAATACAATAATGTTATTCCGTCACCACACTTGACCTACGATATAGATTTTATTGCCAGATACGTAGGAGTGAAGATGATTTCTACAAACTCCAAATTTGATAGAACAAATTAAAGTTTTTTTTCGCTTATCGAAAAAAGATAATATTATATGTAATGATCTGAAGGTAGTCCGCAGGGTTCTGATTATAACCTGCGATTTTATATTTGTGTTTATTGCGGACGGTATTGATCTTACTGAAAATGTGGCAACAAACTGGGCAAATCTATCATACTGGAAACACTGCCGCAAAAACTGCAACTCCCAATGGCACAACAAGGACCAGGGGAGATCTGTTGTCGGTGCAGGAAATACTTTACCTTTTGAAACATTGAAACATTCTATGAACAATGGTGGGGAAAAACGATTTTCAATATAAATGAAAATTTAACTGATTCCCATAGTAAATATTCAACACAACGCAAATACAATTGTAGAAACATGCTAAAACATTATCGGCGTTGTAAACAACATAAAATGGCGTGACCGCAAGCTCAGTGAAGCGAGGTTTTGAATTGTAACGTATGTTTATGTTTGTTGCTATGAAATTATGGTATTAGATTTTACAGATTATTTACCAAGAAGCTGGCGTTATTTACTACTTTTAGCGCTAATAAGTAATGACAATATTTGACAGCATATTGATTTTGTAATATTTCGAAGTAGAACTTTGCCGCAGAAGTACTGACAAAATTTACAATAGCTGACTTCTATATAGAAATAGACGGGGATCTAACAGGACTATTTTACAAAGGTCCATGAAGCAGCCGATTCACCGGGAAAGGAACTGGTGGATAAGGACAAAGGGGGTTCTAACTCAATGAAATATATATTATTAAAATAAGTACGTTCTTGGGAGTCGAACAACCAACCATATTTGTACACGACGGGATTTGTTTGTTTTCTGTTATATTTTTCACAGGAAAAAAAAAATGAATTTGAATTTTTTTTTGTAAAAATCGAGGAATATATTATTGTGAATATAGAGTAATTAAAACATAAAGACACTGTATTAATTCCTCGATTTTTTCACCACTTATTTAATTTGTTATTCATGTGAAATTATTTATCTATGGTAGTAGTTAATACTCGGGTGGTCAGAATATACACGTATTTTTTATTTATAACGAGTGTTAACAAATCCCTGTGATTGACGTGTAGTATGTAACAATATACAATAACAAACAGTTATATAGTTTTCAGTGAAATGCATCGATAGAAGAACAAACGTGTTTGTCTTAAATGCACGTGTAAATGAACGAATTTTGTAACGTATAGAAATTTGGAAATATTGGTCACACAACTTTTGGAAGAACCAGTTTGAGGAAGTAAATTTCGCCCCTTCACATGAACTCTTTTGTTTAGAAGGGGAATTAAGTATTGCGAATAAACACTGGAAAGTCGTTAACTCGCATCAGATTTATGATGTTTTCGCATGTAACAACGACAGACAGTTGTTATTTGGCAGTAAAAGTATAAAAATGTCCTGTTATGCTTGTGGTTCCGGGTTTGGCCTATTTTCAAAGGAGGTAGGTTTGATTATAGAAGAGTGCGAATGTCACGGTGAGCCCCCATGATAGATTGGGCACAACTCTGACTCTGTATGTATGCGTAATAGTCCTGCATTGGAGGAATAATTACTGCTTTTGAGTAATGAATTAGTTAAGGCAGTCATATTGTTGACATGGCCAAAATAACAAACGCAATATTTTACATCTGTTTTATATTTTTACACAAAAAGTGATTAATTTATTTGTCTCACTTTTTGTAAAAGTCACAGATTTCTTGATCACCTCCACTGTCTTTTATGTGACTAAAAATAGAACTGAGGCAAATTCATGTGGGGGATGGATGTGGGGTTGGGGTCTGTTTTATTGGGAAAAAACTCTTTTAATTATCTTATATGAATTGGTTGTTTTTTTTTTTTTTTTGTATTTGAAATAGTACTTATCGCTGAAATGCTGTAATAGTAGAAGGAAAACCAGTTAAATAAATAAATGTGAAATTATCATAGTTATTTCTGTAAAAGGAGCAGTGACTTAATGTGAAACCTAATTCAGATTTGTTGACATTGGGCCCTTAAGGATTTCATAATTTTGTTGTAAATGAAGAATGGCAAATGGAAATTAACTCATTGATATTAAATTTAAAATATGTTATTAAACAAAATGAGTGTGTATTCTGGAGTGATTTATTGTGAATGCATGTAAATGAATAACTCTTCAACACATGCCCACCACTACACACAATACCTGTACATTCTAAACTATGGCTTCATGCTGAAGTCCTACTGGAAATAGACGACAAACTTAAAAATATTTACTGAAGAACAAAACAGTCTCTACAAAACTATCAAATAATTCCTAACATTTTATACTACACACCTGACTGACTGTACATAAAGATGATAAAACTTGTCTGTACATTCCTCCTACTGTACATGAATGTATACTACCATAAGGCCTAATAAGTAAAGAACGAGAGAGAGAGAGATCCAACAAGACTGGTCTAAGCTTTGTTCTTGGCTGCTGATCAAGCGATTGTAATACACGTTTTTATATAGCCTAAATGTGGTAAATAACATCAGCACAGTTCATGCTAAAGTTACTCAAAACACTGTTTGTGTAACTATGTTCTGTATAAACAATAATACACGTTTTTATATAGCCTAAATGTGGTAAATAACATCAGCACAGTTCATGCTAAAGTTACTCAAAACACTGTTTGTGTAACTATGTTCTGTATAAACAAAAATACACATTTTTATATAGCCTAAATGTGGTAAATAACATCAGCACAGTTCATGCTAAAGTTACTCAAAACATTGTTTGTGTAACTATGTTCTGTATAAACAAAAATACACATTTTTATATAGCCTAAATGTGGTAAATAACATCAGCACAATTCATGCTAAAGTTACTCAAAACACTTCTGTTTATGTAACTATGTTCTGTATAAACAAAACAAGATGGACAGCTAAACAGAGTCAGTCATAAAAAACAGAATGTCAAGTTTGCTGCAATCATAAGATAACACTTTGGTTCCTTCTTCTTTAGAAAGAAAAAAAATTAACATTATTTTTAGATAAAAAGCCAGGTTTGTGGTATAAGTAGATATTTATCCTGTGACTGAAAACAGAAACACTTTAAATCTACATCTCAGGTACACCGCTGTAGATGTGTCTGAGTTGATGTTAAATAATGGTATAAAGAGAAAGAAATGACAAGAATCTAATTTACATACAGAAGCTTTAGACATTGTCATCTAGAATTTGTGAAGCAAAAGAAATTGGACATTAAAAAAAACAACCAATGCATGTATATGTGACCAAAATAAGCCATCTTTACAGATATGTAAACACTTGTTGATGTACATATGTACATGTATATCATAAAAGAGTTTTCAGATCCATTATCTCTACCCAGGTAATTAAAAGAGAGTCGCAATGATTTTTGTAGAACTTCCCATATTTCTATAGATAATATATATAATTTGAACATGGTGGTGTCAGTTAAATGTCTAAAAAAGATGTTTATATAAATTTTACTGATATTTTTTTCCATTTCAGCATGGATGCAAACAATGTGGATATGCATTTTGTGGAAAATGTTTGACAAAAAAAGCTGCCATTCCTAAACTTAAAAATGAAAAGCACCATGTGTGTAACAAGTGCTTCAACATTCTCACTGGGTATAATTATGTATTCATTATTTTTTAAAATTAGATCATATATTTTATATAACATTATCAGTTTTTGCAATCTGTTCGTGTTTCTTTTCCAGGTTGTTGATATGTACCCAATGAAATATTTGGAATATAGACTTTTTAGTAACACACATATAATTCTTACATAAAGCATGTTATATTTTAACTAAGTTTTCTCATTATAACTTTTAGTATATTCTCTTTTGAGAACAGGTTTTCTTTAATGAACTTGATATCCATGTTCCCTTTAAGTCTTTTAAACAAATTTTGCTTGATGTTGAAAAGTGTTGTATATGACTGAATCTAAATTCTTACAGAGAAAAGGATTGAGGATGTCCTTATTTGTTGTTGGTTTAAGATATATCACAAATTGATTATTACACTTGTGTCAATATAAAATTGAGTCAATAAATAATTTGATGTGCCACTCACCTTAAACTTCATGATGTAACACATTGTTCTCAATGTATGTCAATCTATTTTTGCAGTAAAGTGAAGAATTCCTCACAGGATAACACAGCGAAGTTTTCTCCTCCTGAAGCCTACAAAAAGTATGTCATCTTCAGAACCTTGTCTTAACTAAACTTAATCATCATTTTAATAATATTTATTCTATTTTTTAACTCATCTTCCAGTACAATGGTATACCACAGTGTCCCTTCTATTTACAAATCTTTCAAGGCTGCTGCATTGAAAATCTGTTTCAGTTTTGATTTAAGACATCCGATATGATGCTTCAAATTTTTTTTAATATATAGAAGCAAATTGTATGATATGTTTTAACACTACCAATATTAGCAGTAATACCTTACAGGCTAATTACATCCAGTCAAAACACTATATACAAAGTATTAGCTATAATCTATCAGGGTTACTATTGTTAACAGGTAGGAATCTTGAAAGTTTCTTTCCAATGAATAATGTAAATAACTGTTACAGTTACACTTTTTTAATGAGACAATTCAAATAAAATAAAGACTTGCAGTGGTAGTCTCCCTTTATGCTGTTCATATTGTCCTGATATTAGCAAGATAAAGAACAGAACATGCCATCTTTAATACCTTGTGTACACTGGAATAATGCTTGCTAGTCCCATCATCAGCCAGATCCTCATTCCTAGGACATTTTGGCACTTTATTTGATGTCCTCCAGAGGTGCACCAGCTGAGTAATCGGGCCCAACCACAAACTGTTCAACTCTTGCATGTTGTCACAGCCTGGTATGCTGGATGTTTACTCAACCTCTTCACAGCCTGCTGCATCAATACAAGCTGTGATGCTTATTTGTCTCCCATCATCTCACAAATTTTGTTTTGTTCCTTTTGGTCTTCTCCTACCTGCTTGGAACTGCTAGTCCTCAGCAAGGTGTCTTGGTGGAGTGGTGTTGAAATCTCCTTAACACGAAAACTCTTCCACTGATGAATATCTGCTCTCAAATCCCAGTCTCCTCATGTTTTCAGTATCTTATTTGAGTCATGTTTCTGAATTCCCAATAGTCTGCACTGATTGAATGTTGTCTTGGAAAAGCTCCCAAGCCAATATGACCTGACCCCACAGTTACAATGATGTCACCCTTGCCGGAGTATGGTCTCTACTGTTGTATCAAGTGCCCATTTAGCATTCCATTTCCATCATCTCAATGTCTCTACCCTTGCTCTTCTGACCTTATTGTCTACAACGTCACCTCATCATGTTTACCTGTCACAACTTGGTTACCTTGAATCCGTCGTCTGAGCTGTAATTTTGTGTGATAATGACATATATTCTTCTCAAGTTTATTATCATATGCTTAATCTTGTATTACAAGAAACAAAACCATATGTTGTTAAGAAATTTTTGTATTTTTTTTTCAATTTCTAAAACATGGAAATTGAAAAAAAAATTCAATTCACATAATTTTAAATGGTACATCTTGGAATATTTTTGCAACAAGTGTACATAACAAAAATAACCTGATATATGGTATAACTATTACGGTATTATGGTATCCATCCTATTTATCAATGGTGACATTGTCAGAGAATTTCAGTATTATTTTGTGTTGTATACCAACACTATAAACACAGAATTCCTTTATCAATGTTAATTTCACAAGACACTGAGTATTATTTTCTGTTATGAATAGACGGGTTGCAGCCCTACAAGAACGAGAATTGCAGGGTTCAGGTTCATCACATTCCAAACCTGCTGACAGAGGTCTCAAAAAGGTTCAGTATAAGGGTCTCTCACCAGCTGAAAGGGACATTGCAGAACGACTGGAAAAACTCAAGGAAAAACCACCAGGAATTGGTAAGGATTTTGGATAGGGGCAGTGGCCTGATATATGTCTAGTATTCATGTAAAGACTTAAATCTAGTCCATTTGTATTATTGAAAATGATGTTAACACTAAATTCTTGGAAATAGGACTGAGTTGAAATAATGTAAATAATTATATTAATAATGTTCATTAAAAATGTGTATTAATGTCATTCTAGTTAAATTGATGGTTTCAATTTGATATCAGATTATCCTTTCTCTAAACAAACATTTTCTGAATATTAACAACTTAGTTGAAATATTGACAGGCTGTTACAGAAAGTGACGAGTGAAACATTTTTGGTTTAAGTATTGACCAGTTTATACAGAAAGTGACGAGTGAAACATTTTTGGTTTAAGTATTGACCAGTTTATACAGAAAGTGACGAGTGAAACATTTTTGGTTTAAGTATTGACCAGTTTATACAGAAAGTGACGAGTGAAACATTTTTGGTTTAAGTATTGACCAGTTTATACAGAAAGTGACGAGTGAAACATTTTTGGTTTAAGTATTGACTGGTTTATACAGAAAGTGACGAGTGAAACATTTTTGGTTTAAGTATTGACCAGTTTATACAGAAAGTGACGAGTGAAACATTTTTGGTTTAAGTATTGACTGGTTTATACAGTGAGTGACAAGTGAAACATTTTTGGTTTAAGTATTGACTGGTTGATAGAGATAGAGACATGTTGATACAGGTGATCAGTTAGTGATAGATTTTTTTGATAACTAAAAAGTTTACTTGTTTACAGAATCCCAACCAAAGGCAACAGAGAAAGAGATGAAGGAGCGACTGGCTAGACTAAAGGGTCAGGACCCAGCGGTGATGGCTGCCCCAACCAAACTGGTATGTTGGTACATAGCTTTGTTGATTATTGATCCAAGTGTTAGTTTTTGACTTCCAGCTGATACAAAGTAGTAAACAGGAATTTATATAGTTGTACCTCATTTATCTTCTTTTTCTTCCTGCAGCTTTTGTGTACTAGTATTAAAATAAATTTAAAGTTACTCCAACCAAATTTTAATAACTCAGACAGATTGTATTAAAATAATGTAAACAGAGGGACTTTTTACTAAGGAGTTGTTAATTGGGATTGAAGGGAAAGATCAAAATAAAATTGACCATCTTGAACACTGAATGAGATCGATTGGACTACAAGTCATAGTAAAACCAGATCAGATGGACTGATTTACTTTGAATGACATCTTCATGAAAACTTCTTTACATTTGCAATATTCTACATGCAAAGAATAGAAATTTTAATGTTAAATAATCCAAGGGGTTATACTCACTTAAGGGCTCAAGGGTAAGTTTCGAAAGGCCTCAAGTTGATGTATTTGTCTATATTTGGTTTCTCGCCTTCACCTTCACTCCTGAAAATCAAGACAATGTAAGCAAAATAATAATTTAGAGTTTCCCAAACTAAATCTACTCTCCATATTTTATTCTGAGTCTTTATTTCACATTAATCAGGTCAGCAATTTAAGGGCTAGGACTTGCTGTTTCAGTAAAGGTATGATGTTATCTTGAAAATCTGTCACTTTTGATAATCTTATTCACTGGTCTGGTGCTGTTTCTTTACTGGGAAATCCCTCATTTCAGGCTTTTGCTCCCGAACGGCGGACACAGCAGGCTCAAATAGACGATATATTGGACGAAATTGCAGCAGAGGTAGAAATAGACTCCCACATGCCTGACCCTGTCAAACAAGTTGAAGGTCGACTGGCAAACCTGAGGGGTCAAGGTGATACTAGCACTGGTATGCTCTCAGCTCAGGTCTTGTAAACAAATTACTAATTGATGCTAACTACTGTTAAGGTTGTGTCCTTTCAACATTCACAGTTTTACAAAAAGGTTTAAAGCAGAAAGGATGTATGTTTCATGGTGAGCTTATGGCATAACACAGTGTATGTTGCCTTTCTGTTGTCCCTTTTCTTTTCCTGTAAATTGTTCTAGTCATAAATGGCAAAGTGGATTTTGACCAATTTTAATCAGAATCATTCTTGGTGGAATGAGAATCAGCTCTTTGTAAACACAGGGTCTTGGTCTCCACTAGGGCCTTAAGGTCATGGCCAAAGGAGAAATTCATCAAACTCTTTAAAGTCCTTCTACTTCTGTAGGAATGACACAATTTTAATCAAATTTGGTTAAAAGCAATATTTGGTGAAAATGATTCAGTTTTGTTTTGTAGTAGATCAGACCTGGGCAGAGGGATGGGGCCAAAAAGGGGAAGAGGAGCTAACACTTTAAAATCCTTCTTGAATTTAAAGTTTGGTCTGAAGCATCCTCTGTCTTCATCCTTCTTCAATAGTAATGACATGATTTTGTCCAAATTCTGGGATGAAATGTGATTCTGATTGTCACTTGATAAAGAACTCTAATCTCTGTGAACTGGTACATGTATTCATGTGCAGTGTAAATGTCTCACATTGTAGATCAGTCTTCAGCTTCCGGGGATCAACAAAATAATTTAAATAGCAGTTTAACAGACAACACACAGCCTTTTGTGCAGAACATAGCATCTCCCTCGGGGAAGTCGGTAACAGGTAAGAGTGAGGAGGACATTAGTGTGGAGGAGATGCATAGATTGATTGCTGAGGCTTCACAGGAGGTGGAAGCAGATGCACAGAGAGCACTAGAAGGACTTCAAAAAGACAAGGAAATCATGAAGAGGCTTCAGGATTACAAGGGCAAAACTAAAGATGACATCAATAAAGGTAAGTACAAAGTATGATATAGACAATTAAAAAATTAGACCTCCTGGAAAAACTGAGAAATACTGCTCCAGATTGTTATATATTTAGAATGGGATAATTTTAATGGGAATTTCAGGATACTTTACCTGTTTGGGATTTTTGTGTGAAAGACATTTTAAGTTTTTATTTAAATTAAGATACTATAAAGAAGAGTTGAAGAAAAATGTTATTGATTTGTTTATGTATGAAAAGCAGAGTAGGGCCTACAGTAGAACTTCAACAAACCAACTATGCGTGGGTCATGAACATTCGGTCAGTTTTGGGAGGGTTTGGTTTGCAAAAGTGAACAAAATTGACAAAGCCGAATGTCAATACTTTTTGTAAATTACTGCATGTGTCCTAATTACTGAGTGCAGGAAGAAACTTTATGAAATAAGAGTGTAAACATTTAATTTTAATTGAGACAGAAGATGTAGATGTGCCATGTCTGGCCATCTTGACACTGTTTACACATATCTGGCAAGCAGTGTCAAAGGTCACTTCATTTGGTAGTGCTTAGTACCAATATACATGTATGTTTCATTGATCAGTACATCAAAATTATCTTTAAAAACTATACTCTATTAATATTTTAACAACTTACAATGGCATGCTCTGTTCTCATGCAAATAGATGCGAAACTGTGACTTTCATGCTCTGAATAAGTAGCCTTCTTTTAGGCATTGTGCAGTCTGATTTCATCTTGTCAGATGAAAATTAAATATCATGTTAATTGTGATCCTCCTGAACAAGCTATATAGAGCATACCTATAACACTTCCGTGCCTGAGGCACAGGGTATACTACTCATGTCACAGGTGTTGATTTCACATCCGCTGGTTAGAACTTGGTCTTGATCACTTGGTTAAGGCTGTTTTTCAAACATTATTATGTTTCCCCTTTAAATGAAGGGCGGGAGACATTGTATAGCTGTGGTTGTTCTGGCTCTAATGATTTCTAGTTTTGCTGACAACTTTAAAACCCTTAAAGATATCTTAATGAGAAATAGTTGCTGTTCACCTTAATTAGCTGAAGATGATGTGTGTGTAGTCCACTGCAGCTACATTACTCTGACCTTGACCTCAAGGTCAAAGGTCAAATAAGTGTGAATTTTTTAATTAATTTTGTCTGCATAACGTTTAACCTGTTAAATATACCTTATTCGGCAAGCCTCGTGTTTGACAACTTAATAATCCCCCCTGGGGTTGAGATCCTCCTGTCTCACCGCAAAGGGGGTTAAAGATTCTATTACACTTTAATCAGAAGAAGCCTACGTGCAGTACTCTGGTTAAAACACCTTACTCCAGTTATACCTGCAATCATTGTTTTTATTTAGTATATATACTTGTCTGCACCATAGCCACTTAAACTTTACAACATACAGTATCAAATTTGATTAATGGTTTAGAACAATAAAGTTTTTCCTAGCACACCCATCCCACTATAAAAGCAGCAAATAAACATATTTGTATAAAAGGGAAGACATAGGTACATATTTGTTCACCAAAACAGAGCTCTAGTTTTCTGTATATGTTATTCATTTCGGTCATAAGATCAAATCAGTATTTGGAATTGAGAGGGATCAAAGCCATTTCAATCAAGATTGATGTCATTATAAGGAATGCTTACTCCGAGTTGTGGAATCCTTGTTTACACCATTTTGACTTTGTTGCATCTTTTGCAAAAGGAACTAATCTGGTTAGTGTTTGGTATGAGGATCCTATGTATTCAAGCAAAGATGAACATGCCAGATTTGAAATACCCAGTAAAACCAGGTTTATCTTTTACCTAAATGTATCTCACAAGAGAAGTAACTGTGATTTTACATACAGTACTGTACATACCATTGAAGAAAATTCAGTAATCAGTTATGCTTACATGAACAGTCTATAACTAGTGTATACTATAAAGGAATGCTTCAGTATTGATTTCAATTGATTTCTTCTAAGATTTATTGAAGAACTCCAACATTATCTGACATTGCAGTGCATGTGTATCAGGCTAGTGTCCTGATGGGAATATTAGATTGGGCTCTGTGTGTGTGTATTATGGTAATGTCCTGGTTATAACAGGTATGACAGGTATGACAGGTATAACAGATATAACAGGTGTTACAGTTACCAGGTATTTATATTTCAGACAATTCCCAAGGAGATGACAATTGTAATTCTGACAGTGACAATGAAAATGAGGATGAATTGGCTGCAAGTCTGATCAAGCGGGTAAATACGTCTTCTTGTTCATTGTTGTCATTCTCTTTACTCACAACTCACATCTTGTACAGTTTATGGAATATATTGAGTGTATGTATTTACAGGACCATGATTTATTCCCAGATTCTGTAAGACTATTTTCAGATATTTTTATATTTATGTTCAAATTAATGCAGAATTTACTGGCTTTAATTTCTAAAATCTTGATTTCTTCTTTTGCGGCATCTTTATATAATGTTTTTTTATGAAATCAATTTTTAGTTGATAGAGGAACAGAAGCTTGATGAAGCAGCAGGCAGGGACAGTATAGATGTGGACAAAATTGGGGTCAGGAGGTCACAGATCAGGTCCAATGAGGATATGTCACATGTAAGGTTCAAAGTATAGGTGAAATGAGATTGGGATCAGGAGGTCACAGATCAGGCTGAATAATATGTCACAATTAAGGTTTAAAGTACAGGTGAAATGAGATTGGAGTCAAAAGAATCACATGTATAGGTAACTTATCAAATCTCCTTAATCTGAGATGATTTCTGTGACATTTGCTTGTTGACAATAATAATATATACTTGCGTATCATCATTAACTATATTTTTCATATATATATATATATATCTATACAATTTGTGTAGGTCCCATACTGTGTTTTAAAAATGTCAAAAATGAAAATAGTAAAAATTAATTTTTAGTTATTATATTGTGAACATTTTTTTTTGTGCAGGAGGATGATGATGAACTTCCCTACTGTTCTATCTGTACTGAAGATGCCAATATTCGCTGTCATGGTTGTGATAAGGACCTTTACTGTAATCAATGTTGGAAGTAAGTAGCACAGTCATCAGGCTACCTGGTCTAGACCCAATACAGTTATGAATTTACCTGGTCTAGGCCCAGCACAGTTATCACTTTACCTGGTCTAGGTCCTGCACAGTCATTGCTTTACCCAGTTTAGACCAGTACAGTTATCACTTGACCTGGTCTAGACCCAACACAGTTATCACTTGACCTGGTCAAGACCCAACACTGTTTTCACTTGACCTGGTCAAGACCCAGAACAGTCATCCATTTACCTGCTCTAGACCTAGCACAGTCATTCGTCTACATGGTCTATGCCCAGCACAGTCATCCGTCTACCTGGTCTAGACCCAGCACAGTCATCAGTCTACCTAGTCTAAACCCAGCACAGTCATCAGTTTACCTAGTCTATATCCAGCACAGTCATCCGTCTACCTGGTCTAGACCCAGCACAGTCATGAGTCTACCTAGTCTAAACCCAGCACAGTCATCAGTTTACCTAGTCTAAACCCAGCACAGTCATCAGTCTACCTAGTCTAAACCCAGCACAGTCATCAGTCTACCTAGTCTAAACCCAGCACAGTCATCAGTCTACCTAGTCTAAACCCAGCACAGTCATCAGTCTACCTAGTCTAAACCCAGCACAGTCATCAGTCTACCTAGTCTAAACCCAGCAGTCATCAGTCTACCTGGCCTAGACCCAGCACAGTAATCACTTGACCTGGTCTAGTCCAAGCACAGTTATCACTAGACCTGGTCTAGACCCAGCACAGTCATCACTTGACCTGGCCTAGATCCAACACTGTTATCACTTTACCTGGTCTAGACCCAATACATTTATCACTTTACCTGGTCAAGACCAAGCTTAGTTATCACTTTACCTGGTCCATGTTTGTATTCTTAAATTAGTTAACTTGTTTTGTCCATTACTGATACATTATTATGAAGGTTATATTTATCATTATTGGTGAAGGTCATTCCTGTTATCAGTAGGTCATACTGTTCATAAACAAATATTTTTCACCAAATATATAAGGACTCCTCAGTTTTCACATTGAAATGTCAATAAAACCTTGGATAATTGGTGAACAAATCCATTTATAAATGGGAAGAAAGTTTTGTACAGCAACATTCAACGCTGTCATTGATCATTCAACAGAAAATGGTGAAACTTATCATGTTATTATCTGAACATATTTATAACCTACAGCATATGTGAAGTAAATGAAATGAATTGTATTCTTAACAGGACTTTGCCAAATTTTACTCTTTATCATAGATCATAGATATCTTATGAACTTCAGTGGACAGGAATTTCTTTATTAGAATAAAATGGTGTAAGTTTCTCACATTTCTTACGTTTTCTTCATTTTTGCAGCAAAAGTCACAAGGACTTCCAAATGGAAGACCATGTCACATCCAAGTATATTGTCCCAAAGGGAATCACCTGATTGATGGCCAATGGACGTTTTTCCTTGCTAGGAGATATCCTTATTTATGCTGGAAGGAAATCACTTTAATAATTTGATCAATACCAGTTACAATGGATTTTTCTCTTGACCAGGTTTTACTTCTTATTTTTTTTTACTATAGTTGAGGATCTTAATGTTTTAGAATATAATGATCATATCAATAACAAAGGACTGCAGACTGCCGATCAAGAGGCATTACCCATTGTGATAAAGAAACGATAACTCGTTGAACAAGAATTTACTATGTTGTAATCCATAATCTCACTACACATCACTAACTACATTGTATTACTATGTCCATGAGATATTATTTAAGCATGAATTTCATCAATCAAAAGGTAATCAAGAAATTAGTATTCTAAAGGAACGGATTCTTTGCTTAAAAACAAATATCTAAGCCAAAAGTTACAGTTTGCTTCCATGTTTAGTGTGTTTATGTATTCAGTTATAAGCTGTTAATGGCGTTACTCTGTGTACATGTTATGTGTTGCTCATGCTGGTAATATCAGTGATATTGATTCACACTACATATAGTAGTCACAGAATTTATGTTCAAGTTGCTGTTATGTCACAAATAAATTATTCATTGTAAAAGTCTATATACTGCATACAGGGTTGTTTATAAAAGAGAAAAGTACTGCATATTGTGTAAGTGATGCTGTATACAAGAGAATGGTACAGTAAGAGATGCTGTAAAGAGGAGCAGGATAGAAGTAATGCGGTATACAGGAGAATGATACGACAAATGATACTGTATACAGGAAAAAGGTACGACAAGTGATACTGTATACATGAGAAGGGTACGACAAGTGATGCTGTATACAGGAGAAAGATATGACAAGTCATGCTGTATACATGAGAAGGGTACGACAAGTGATGCTGTATACAGGAGAATGGTACGACAAGTGATGCTGTATACAGGAGAAAGGTATGACAAGTGATGCTGTATACATTAGAAGGGTACGACAAGTGATGCTGTATACAGGAGAATGGTACGACAAGTGATGCTGTATACAGGAGAAGAGTACGACAAGTGATGCTGTATACAGGAGAAAGGTACGACAAGTGATACTGTATACTGGAGAAGGGTACGACAAGTGATGCTGTATACAGGAGAAGGGTACGACAAGTGATGCTGTATACAGGAGAAGAGTACAACAAGTGATGCTGTATACAGGAGAAAGGTATGACAAGTGATGCTGTATACATTAGAAGGGTACGACAAGTGATGCTGTATACAGGAGAATGGTACGACAAATGATGCTGTATACAGGAGAAAGGTACGACAAGTGATGCTGTATACAGGAGAAGGGTACGACAAGTGATGCTGTATACAGGAGAAGGGTACGACAGGTGTTGCTGTATGCATGAGAAGGGCACGACAAGTGATGCTGTATGCATGAGAAGGGTACGACAAGTGATGCTGTATACAGGAGAATGGTACGACAAATGATACTGTATGCAGGAGAAAGGTATGACAAGTGATACTGTATACAGGAGAAGAGTACAACAAGTGTTGCTGTATGCATGAGAAGGGTACGACAAGTGATGCTGTATACATGAGAAGGGTACGACAGGTGATGCTGTATACAGGAGAAAGGTACGACAAGTGATGCTGTATACAGGAGAAAGGTACAACAAGTGATGCTGTTAATGGGAGAAACGTACAAGTGATGATGGGAAATGAAATTTTGTTGAAACCTAGTGAATTATATGTTCTCCACCCCACGGGGACTTGAGGCACGGGGTCAAAAGGGTCAGATTTACTCAATTTCCAAAAATCTTCTTCGCAATACCCAGATATGGTAGAATTGAATGCTCTTCATGGATGAAAGCATTCTAAGGTACTTTACGAAAATTGAGAACTTCATGGCCCCAGGGTCTCACAATTCCCAGTGGGGAGGGAATAAATTTTACTAAAGTTAATATAGGAAATATAGATTTTTGATTATAATTGGTTTAATTTCCAGCCAAAATATTTCAAACTTGGTTAGAATTCTAAATGAAGCATGACAACTAGGTGGTATGAATAGATTTTATCCTGACTTACTCCCAAGGGCTGTTAGGCAGTACCATAAAGGGTCAAATAGACTTATATTTTGAAAAAAATTGTTCAATGTCACAATTTCTTTTTCATGACACTTGAAAGCTACTTTCCCTTTAACCGTTATATTCAATATTGCTTATCTCAGGTGACGGTCAGGGCCGCTTGGCCTCTTGTGGTTTTTGAGAAGAAGACATTTAAAGATTTTAACATATTTGGCCCATGTGACCTTGAAAACGGGGTCAAGGTCATTCATATCTCTTTATCTTTGGTTATTAGAAGAAGTCATTTGAATGGAAAGTTTACGCATGGTGAAATGGCAAATGACGATGAATAAAAACACAATGGCTGTAGCCAAGGTCATCCTGACCCTTCAGTCAGTTGACCTAAAAATGACACACAAAAATTATGTTACAAGACCACCATTTTATTATAGGATTACTTCAGTCCAATAGTTATGACGTACAATTGAATACAAAAACAGCTCAGAATTTGACTAAATCACACTTCTTCCTTACAGAACTATGGACTGACTATAAAAAGTATATCCTTAAATAAAAAAAGCAACTGAACTTTTAACAATGATCTGATAACTTTTTCTGAGAATCTAAATTCACTTGTTCTTGACTTAAAATAAATATTTAAATGATCACAAAGCAAATTCAAATTTGTCACAATATTTAAATTTCATAATGATACCATTGAAGTTTAAAATAATAAGTCATATTGAAATAAACAAGAATTTTAATGTGACCCAGGTACTTTGTTATAAAACAATCAGCAATTAATTATAAGTTCCATGTAAAAGTTTTCATCATACTACAATACTATTACACTGTGTAAACTGATGTGTTCTTACACTGGTGTATTAAGTAAACTGATATGTTCTGTGCACTGATGTATTAAGTAGACTGATGTGATCTTGTGTACACCATATCGTGGGCTGATGAACATTGTGCACTCTCACTGTAAACTGATGTTCTTCATGAACTGATGTGCTGTGTATACTGACATTATCAGTGTTGTACTCTGTATACTGACACTATCGGTGATGTACTCTGTATAATGACACTATCAGTGATGTACTCTATATACTGACATCAGTGAAGTACTCTGTATACTGACACTATCAGTGATGTAATCTGTATACTGACATCAGTGAAGTACTCTGTATACTGACACTATCAGTGTTGTACTCTGTATACTGACACTATCATATCAGTGAAGTACTCTGTATACTGACATCAGTGAAGTACTCTGTATATTGACACTATCAGTGTTGTACTCTGTATACCGACACTATCAGTGATGTACTCTATATACTGACACTATCATATCAGTGAAGTACTCTGTATACTGACACTATCAGTGATGTACTCTATATACTGACACTATCAGTGATGTAATCTGTATACTGACATCAGTGAAGTACTCTGTATACTGACACTATCAGTGTTGTACTCTGTATACTGACACTATCATATCAGTGAAGTACTCTGTATACTGACATCAGTGAAGTACTCTGTATATTGACACTATCAGTGTTGTACTCTGTATACCGACACTATCAGTGATGTAATCTGTATACTGACACTATCAGTGATGTACTCTATATACTGACACTATCAGTGATGTAATCTGTATACTGACATCAGTGAAGTACTCTGTATACTGACACTATCAGTGTTGTACTCTGTATACTGACACTATCATATCAGTGAAGTACTCTGTATACTGACATCAGTGAAGTACTCTGTATATTGACACTATCAGTGTTGTACTCTGTATACCGACACTATCAGTGATGTAATCTGTATACTGACACTATCAGTGATGTACTCTATATACTGACACTATCATATCAGTGAAGTACTCTGTATACTGACACTATCAGTGATGTACTCTGTATACTGACACTATCAGTGATATGCTTTGCTTAAGGATACCTGGTGTGATATGCTCTATATAATGACGTACACTGTAAACTGACACTATCATTGAAGTTTATATGTAGTAGCCACACAGCTCTATCACGTGCTAGTGAGGAAATCAGATGGATTAGAAATATTTCTACTCTTTCAGGATTATTTATACAGTACAAATAGGATAATATTGTTTTCACAAAAACATTTGATTTTCTGTAATGGACGGCATCATCAGCTCCAATCACAAAATACTTCAATGAAAACTTGGATTAATTTCATAAATCATAATGTGTATATGGTGAGATTCCTTTTTTCACTGTCAATCAATAAAGAAACTATTTGAAAACCAAACATGTTTTAGAATTACTCTTATAGCAATAATTCTTCAGCTCTGTTCATGTTTTACACTATAACGCAGGAGATAAACAATTGTAATATAGCACATACCAGCTGTAATGCTTGGAACAACTAGCTGTAACCAAGATATTTGGTTCTGATACTGGACAATCATGCTGTTATACTGAATATATTCAGCTGTTATACAGGAAATATTTAACTGTAATACAAAAGCTAACCCATTATTATTCAGGACTTATCCTCCTGTATAAAATGGGATATCTAGTTGGATATTCAGCTGTAACACTGGAGATACTGTATTAAACAAGGCTGCAGCTTACAGCTTTAAATAAGATTACATCCAGCTGTGTTATATGAGATCCAGCTGTAACACAAGATACATCCAGCTGTTATATAGATATCAAGCTGTAACACTTGATACATCCAGCTGTAATATAGATATCCAGCCATAACATAGGATACATCCAGCTGTAACACAGGCCACATCCAGCTGTAATACAGGATACATCCAGCTGTAATATAGATATCCAGCCATAACATAAGATACATCCAGCTGTAACACAGGACACATCCAGCTGTAACACAAATATCCAGCTGTAACACAGGATACATTCAGCTGTAATATATATATCAAGCTGTAAAACAGGATACATCCAGCTGTAACACAGGATACATCCAGCTGTAATATAGATATCTAGCTGTAACACAGCATACATCCAGCTGTAACACAGGACACATCCAGCTGTAACACAAATATCCAGCTGTAACACAGGATACATTCAGCTGTAATATATATATCAAGCTGTAAAACAGGATACATCCAGCTGTAACACAGGATACATCCAGCTGTTATATAGATATCTAGCTGTAACACAGGATACATCCAGCTGTAACACAGGATACATCCAGTTGTAACACAGGATACATCCTGCTGTAGCACAGGATACATCCAGCTGTAACACAGGATACATCCAAATGTAACACAGGAAACATCCAGCTGTAACACAGAAAACATCCAGCTGTAGCACAGGATACATCCTGCTGTAGCATAGGATACATACAGCTGTAATACAGGATACATCCAGTTGTAACAAAGGATACATCCAGCTGTAATAGAGATATCCAGCTGTAACACAGGATAAATCCAGCTGTAATATAGATATCCCGTTGTACCACTGGATACATCCATCTGTAACACAGGATACATCCAGCTGTAATACAGGACACATCCAGCTGTAATGTAGAAATTCAGCTGTAATACAGGATACATCCAGCTGTAACACAGGACACATTCAGCTGTAACAGGACACATCCAGCTGTAATGTAGAAATTCAGCTGTAATACAGGATACATCCAGCTGTAAAACAGGATACATCGAGCTGTAACACTGGATACATCCAGCTGTAACACAGGATACATCCAGCTGTAACACAGAATACATCCAGCTGTAATATTGCTATCCAGCTGTTACAGAGGTATCCATTTCTCATACAGGATACCTCCAGTTATATTGAAGAGATATCCAGCTTTAACTTTGGAAATATCAAGACGTGGTATTTGAGATATGTGTCTGTAACAAGATATCTTCTGATGTGCAGTGGCTGATTATGGGCAAATTGTCATCATCAAACATTTCTCAGATGTATTAAGTTACGTATACTCCACAATGGCAAGTCACAATATAATTTTTGACAAAGTTTATAATTGTAATAATCAATTTAAACAATTCAATATATACTTTACCAATGGTACATGTAGTATCTGAGACATTATATGTTGGATCTTGACAACACATAGGGAGCATTTTAGGAAACAGGGGTGGGGTAAAGTTAAACCATCAATATAGAAATACAATAAATACATAACAAAATAACAAAAAAACAATAAAATCAATAATTACATACTAATGTAAAATACAGAAATATCACAGACAACAGAATGTCATGACGACATTATAATAAAACACTGGATCAGCCTTGTCTTTACTGAATACACTCCTTAAACTGCTCCAATGCAATTTTAAATTTCAAAAGTATAATCACTTGTCAAGATAAAAAAAGCATGTTTATAACTAAAATAAATATCTGTAAAATACTACGTTTGTTCCAAAACTGTGCTGAGAAGATCAATAGGAGTGACATTACTGTAATGGGATATTACAATTACTATTGTGATATTATCATAATTGATGTGATATTAACGTAATGGTTGTGATATAACTGTAATGGTTGTAACAGTACCAAAATGGTTGTAGTAATACAGTCACAGTAAAGGGTGTGATATTACCATAAATGATGTGATATTGGTGATATTACGGTAAAGGGTGTAAAATTATATTAAAGAGTGATATTATGGTCAAGGTTGTGGTATTAAGGTAAAGGATGTGATGTTGTTGATATTATGGTAAAGGACATAATATCTTAAAGGGTGTGATATTATGGTAAAGGGTGTAAAATTATATTAAAGAGTGTGATATTATGGTCAAGGTTGTGGTATTACGGTAAAGGGTGTGATATTGGTGATATTATGGTAAAGGACGTAATATCTTAAAGGGTGTGATATTATGGTAAAGGGTGTAAAATTATATTAAAGAGTGTGATATTATGGTCAAGGTTGTGGTATTACGGTAAAGGGTGTGATATTGGTGATATTATGGTAAAGGATGTAATATATTAAAGGGTGTGATATTATATTAAAAGGTGTGATATTTTGGTAAAGGGTATAGTATTATATTTAAGGCTGTGATATTATGGTGAAGGGTGTGATATTATATTAAAGAGTGAGGCTTTATTTTATTTTCGGGGATGGAATAAAACTAAACACAAAAAGATACCATGAAAATAAAGGAATCAATATCAGATTTCATGACTTCCACAAAATGAAATCCCTCTTGCACCAAGCTTTCAATATAAAAACCGTGAAAATCTGGACCATTGAAAAACAGAAATTTACTAGCAGTATCTGTATATATTACCCCAAAGTACGGTATCTGGATATGTTACCTTCAGACTACATTATCTAGATATGTTTCCCACAGACTGATATGTTGTATTTAAGCCACAGTCATTACTGCATACTTTCATCTGTGTTGCAATCCTGTGAAAACCACTTCACAAGCATTTATTTATTGACATAATCATGAAGACAGTTTGAATCCAAAAATCTTTTCGTCAAATGGTTCTTTCTCCTAAAATTGATATGTACAGACTAGTTATCACTTACAAGTTGTTACTTCTTGATTTCATCAAAATAATTATTAAATAAAAATATTTCATGGCACATAACTTTGACAGATCTTCGTCTACATTACCTGTGATTCTATCTTCAAACTGTCTATACTATACAAGACTATCACTGAACAACTAAGGGTGGTACATCAATATAAGAGAGCAAACTTCTTATTGAAATATTGTGTTGATAATGTGTCATTATACCAAGTAAATCTGGTCCCTTTAAACTATCTATCAGGTTTAGTCAGCAGGTTTGTGTCTGCAATATATACATGAGAAGCAGTCACATGTAACAGGGAACATTATTCTTTCACTGCTTCCATCATCAATCAAATTCAGAACCTACACAGTAGGTAGGTATTGGTGCAGGAGGCACATTATTGTTCCTCTGGACAAAGCGCTTGCCTTAAACCTTTGACTGGATTTCCTGATCCAACAGGTATTAAGTCACCTGTCTGAACACTGGGTTTCTTCAGGGCTTTTATCCCACTGTATTGCCTCCACACTTCAATCTTTGCCATCATGACTGATAAAAGTTATTTGAAAAGAAGATAAATAAGTTGATAGTTTACTGTCTACTTTAAATAAAACCAAAGAATTAAATTTCTAGAGATCACATTAATGTACACTTGTGTGTTTCATAAAACATGTCAACACTCACAGATTCAGACACACATACACAAATTCATCTGGAATGTTCTTCCAAGACCCATTTCCAAAATATACACACCTCTCAAATGCTGCTATGTAATAAGAAAACAAATCACCTCTACAAGAACCTGTAGAAAACTGCAATGATTTTGAGCAAATTAGAGCAATAAAGGAAATTTGACTTCAAAAAATAAGTGTCATACAATAGTTCAACACAGACTAGAACTAAGAAGCATTCGCTTCCTTAAGAGACATGAATAGAAACATAACAAAATGGTTGGTGGAGGGTGTTTATATTTGATAAAACTTACCAAAACTGATTTACAGTCGTAATTAACCAACCTTTATATCCATACAAAACGTCATGTCAATTATATCAGTAATGTCAACCAAATGTCATATCCATTACCAGTAATGTCAACCAAATATCATATCAATTATCAGTAATGTCAACCAAACGTCATATCAATTATCAGTAATGTCAACCAAACGTCATATCAATTATCAGTAATGTCAACCAAACGTCATATCAATTATCAGTAATGTCAACCAAACGTCATATCAATTATCAGTAATGTCAACCAAACGTCATATCAATTATCAGTAATGTCAACCAAACGTCATATCAATTACCAGTAATGTCAACCAAATGTCATATTCATTATCAGTTACATCAACCAAACGTCATATTCATTATCAGTAGTGTCAACCAACCATCACATCACTTACCAGTAAAATCAAACAACTGTCACATCAATTATCAGTAACGTCGACCAAACCTAACATCTATTATCAGTTACATCATCCAAATGTCACATCCATTATCAGTAACGTCGACCAAACCTAGCATCTATTATCAGTTACATCATCCAAATGTCACATCCATTATCAGTAACGTCGACCAAACCTAATATCTATTTTCAGTTACATCATCCAAATGTCACATCCATTATCAGTAATGTCAACCAAACGTCATATCACTTATCAGTAACATCAACCAAACGTCATACCTATTATATGTAATATGTCAACCAAATGTCCTATCCATTATCAGTAACATCAACCAAACGTCATATTCATTATCAGTAGTGTCAACCAAATGTCATATCTACTATATGTAATATGTCAAACAACTGTGATATCCATCATTAGTAAGGTCAACCAACCAATCCATTATGTAAAGTAACTTGCCTTTCAGAGTATAAATTACCTGGTCAAAGCAATATAGATAAGATTAAACTTCACTGCTTTACCATAATTACACTAATATTGTATCAGGTGTTTTTCCCTATGATATCATAATCTACCATACACGTACCATATCTTTTATCTATAAGGTGTCAAAATGATAATCACTATCAGCATTAACTCCAACCATTCAATTCTAATGTCAACACAGGAATAGCCGTCACAAATAACAGAATGGTATTAGACAGTTAAACCTTGATATGGTCGGGATACTGAGGGAACTGACTGAGAATTCTGAATTAACTATAACCCTAAGCTGGTGGGGATGCTGATTGGCTAAAAGACTTCCAAGTTCATTTTTGACCCTTTAGATGGTGGGAATGCTGATTGGCTGAGAGGCTTCAGAGCTATGGGGATGTTGATTAGCTGAGGGACCTCTGGAATGTTCTTTGACCCCTCAGATAGTGGGGATGCTAATCGGTGGTGATGAGAAGATAGGGTAACCTAGAGGTGGGTCCGCTGACTGTACTGTCAGGTTCCTGAGAACTGTAGGATGGGCCTGAATACTATAGCGCTCTTCATCATCGTTGGTGAAATACAACAATTCCAGGCTAAGGTTTGCCCACTGGCCCCGCACTACTTCTGTGTTCAGTCGACCTATATGAGCAGCCACCTCTTGTAATGACAGCACTCGACTTGTGTAAGTTCCCTTCAAGTAGAAATACAAATTGAATGTAAGTTACGCAACTATAAAATGTTGTAAGTTTTGCATGAATCAAATGTTATATGTTTTGTAAAGGTCAATGTTGAAAGTTTTGAACAAAATGTTGCAAGAGTTGTACAGACCAAATGTTGAAAAGTTCTGTTCATTGAATAAAATCAAATGAAAACAAGAGACCCAAGATGCCTGCAACACTCACCTGGCTATTTCAGCTATTCAGTCATTCAACAAATAATTAAAAAAAATCCCTGGGGGCCACTGCTTTTACAAAATTGATCCCCTTCTCCAATTAAGCTGATTTCATTTCACCAAAGGATGTTTCAGACCAAATTTTCTTCAGAATCCAATCATTCCTACAGGAGCAGTAGGATTTTGAAGAAAATGTACACTTTTGGGCCCATCCCTCAGACCCAAGGGGGTCACACCCAACATATATACAAATTTGGTCCTGCTTCCTCAATTACCCTTCTGATCAAATTTAATCAAATTCCCTTTGATTACTTTTGACTACCGGTAGAAGCAAGTTTTAATGAAATATTGATGGACAATGGATGTCACTCCATGGCATAAGCTTACCAGTCCTTCAGACCAGGAAATATTCCAATAATATCAAATATTCCAACAAATACAATGGATGTCACTCCATGGCATAAGCCCACCAGTCCAGATGAGCTAAATAAGGCTTCAATGGATACAGCCAGTTATGACTAAGAGAGATTAACTGAATGCAGTAGTACCTGTTGATTGTTATGGCCAAGAGAGAAGAGATTAGGTTTACTGGCCAGTACTGCAGTCTTCCATTGATCATCAGACTCAAGTCCAATGTACCAGTCTCTGTCATATTCCTCCATGTACTCCTGCAGTTCCTCTGAGGAAGTCGCCTCTCCAAGCAACATTTGATCCAACATCAGCTTAAACCCATACCTACAATTTAACATTCCATAGGTCACATAAACCCATACCTACAATTTAACATTCCATAGGTCACATAAACCCATACCTACAATTTAACATTTCATAGGTTACAATCAAATATCCCTATAGATGCAATCACATATTTCTTAGGTATAAATAGGCATTTCTACAGGTAAGATTAAATATTCCTTTTAGAACAATGAAATATTTTTACAGGTACAATTTAACATTCTCACAGATACAAGTACATATTCCAACAGATACAAGCAAATATTCCTATATGTACAATTAAATATTCCAACCAGGTACAATTAAATATTCCAACAGATACAAATAAATGTTCTAACAGGTACAATTAAATATTCAAACAGGTACTTTTATTAAAGAATACATTTAGCTATTGGTATAAACAATGACATATTACCTATAGGCACGAACAATTGTGTATTATTCACAGGTACAAACAGCTGAATACTCCTACATATACAAACCATTACAGATTACCTTCATAATCAATTAAAGGTATCATGTACTCTATATTAACACTATATGTAGGTACCATGTACTCTATAGTAACACTATATGTAGGTACCATGTACTCTATATTAACACTATATGTAGGTACCATGTACTCTAAATTAACACTATATGTAGGTACCATGTACTCTATAGTAACACTATATGTAGGTACCATGTACTCTATAGTAACACTATATGTAGGTAGCATGTACTCTATATTAACTCTATATGTAGGTACTCTATAGTAACACTATATGTAGGTTCCATGTACTCTATAGTAACACTATATGAAAGTACCATGTACTCTATAGTAACACTATATGTAGGTACCATGTACTCTATAGTAACACTATATGTAGGTACCATGTACTCTATAGTAACACTGTATGTAGGTACCATGTACTCTATATTAACACTATATGTAGGTACCATGTACTCTATATTAGCACTATATATAGGTACCATGTATTCTATAGTAACACTATATGTAGGTACCATGTACTCTAAATTAACACTATATGTAGGTAGCATGTACTCTATATTAACTCTATATGTAAGTACTCTATAGTAACACTATATGTAGGTACCATGTACTCTATAGTACCACTATATGTAGGTACCATGTACTCTATAGTAACACTATATGTAGGTATCATGTACTCTATTTCAACACTATATATAGGTACCATGAACTCTATAGTAACACTATATGTAGGTACCATGTACTCTATATTAACACTATATGTAGGTACCATGTACTCTATAGTAACTCTATATGTAGGTACCATGTACTCTATAGTAACTCTATTAACACTATATATAGGTACCATGTACTCTATAGTAACACTATATGTAGGTACCATGTACTCTATATTAACTCCGTATGTAGGTACCATGTACTCCATATTAACACTATATGTAGGTACCATATACTTTTTAGTCATTGTACCAATGCTGATAGTATACCATGTCAAATGTGTACCTGAAACACTTGATAACAAGTGAATGCAGCTCCTTGTCCTCAGACAACCAGTCCAACATGGCGTTCCAAGGCAGATCGCCTGTGTAGTACTTATAGAGTGTGCTTGCGGAACTGAAGGATGCTGGAAAAATTAATTGTTTCTGTATTGGGAATTTTCACTATAAATGATAATTTGGGGAATGTACATTTAGAAATCTTTGCTCTGACTAAATTGGATTCATTCTCTTACTATATAACATTTAGCCCATGAATCATCTGATTATAAACATCTGTATATGATATATCAGCAGTAAAGGCAAAAATCTCTTCATTTCAGTTTCTCAACATCCAAAAATGTTTTAGCTCAATAGCACAAGTGGAACTGGGGGACAATTCTTAAATGTGTTTTTCAAGATGGCAGTCATGATGGGAAAGGTCTAACTATACTTATGCACTTTGCTCTGAAAAACTGATCCAAACACAAATTTTCAAAGCCCCAATAACAATGTTAAAGTAATATCTTAGTCTTGCTTTTGCTCCTCTGTAGCAGTCAGACAAGAAAACTTATAACACACACCTTGAGAATTTTAAATTTTCAAGTTTAGCAAACTTAATAAATATAGATTATTTGTACTCACCTTGAGCATCAAATATGGAGTAACATGCCATCACTAGCTGTGCATAGCAATTCATTAGTGTGTCATCTTGACCGACATCTATAGCTACTTTCTCCCTTGGCTGGCCAGTTACTGACCAATCAAGTGTTCCTAGGACAAAGCGATACCACTCCCTCGGAAACTGGTCCAGGTAGCGAGAAAGCTGTGAGTATTCCACTGGCAACTCTCGCCATCGTGCAGGCACGCTGATGTGGAATGAATGAGGACACTTAAAGTCAGGTGAGCCAGCCAGGTTTGTGACAGGTTTATATATAGTGTTGTTGCCAATAGCTCCAGCTTTAGACTTCATGGCTGTAAATGTGGGCTGCATCACTTGCTTTGGCTTTGTAATATCTGATGCAGGTAAACCAAAGTCTAACTCTTCAAACAAATCGTCTAAATCATCCTTATCACCAGAAAGCTTGTTTTTACTCTTAGAGTTATCTACAGATGGATATGTTGAAACTTTGGACTTCTGAAAAGTATTTTTGTTAGTCTTATTATCGAAGATTCCATCATCTGACCACAAACTGTCAGCAAAGCTCTCTATAGAAGCCCAGGATGACTGCCGTTTCACTACTGGAGGTTTATTTACCATGACTACTGTATCCACAGTTTTTACACCTGTCATTGAGCTGGCCCCAACCACTCTCCTTGAGGCTGAAGGGGGTGACAAGTTATTGTTCATAGTCTCCTGGTTATGATTGATTTCCTCCATCTCCATTTTCTCCTTTCCTTCTGAGGAGTCACAACCACTATCACTGTCCCTGTCTACAAATGGTGAAGTGGTGCTACATTTGGTTCGATTGATATGATGCAATAGTACCCACACCAGACTTTTAGAGAAAGCTGTCATTGTGGTCTGATAACTGCCAGGACTGTCTATGATTCCTGTTAACACATTTCTGGCATCAGAGTAGGTGTGAACATACGCTGCATCCACAGGTGTTAGTGTATGTAAGGGGTACTGGTTCATCGACCCAAGTGCAAACCCTTGCTCCCGCTCAAACGCCTCTTCAAAGATGTCATCCAGTCTGGCTGCCTCTGCTGTGTGACAGGATGTCTCCTGTAGTTCCAGACCTTTAATGTTTACCGTACAGTAGCCACATCCCCGCTCTAGAACCTGCACCCAAGCAAGACGGTCCTGGAACCTCACAAGATAGTGGTTACCTGGCACAGGCTCACCTACAACAATGTTTTATACATATTTATAGTGTCCTTTGGTATCTTAAAATAGTAAAAAATATTTCATTTCAGATTTAACTAATAAAACACCACATTCCAACTATTCATGTCTCTTCATATTGGTGGCACTTTGGCAAGAAGAGCATTAAAAGTACTATACAAGCATTGAAACACATTAGGTAAAAATATCTGTATATATTAATACATTGTATATTTTCTCCATGGCATCTATCGGCCATTGATTCACAACTGAGACAAAAAACACAGACAAGAATGTCTAACAGTATATGGTTGAATGTTACACCTATTTTACAATGGTAATGTGGATGCTAAAATGAAACAGATATACAGTCTGGCCCTTGTGATAATATTGGTGTTTAGACAAACAGACAGACATTTGATATTCTGTGTATCCTAGGATACAACAGTGATTAACAATGTTGTACAGAAATCACAACATTTACTCAATTTTCATTTTTCAACATCTATCACACATACCTAAACTCCCATCTGCAAATGCAGTTCTCAAGACTTCAGCAAATTTAGGAGCAAACTGTCGATAAAACATGGAATCAGCACAGACATTTGCTGAGGCACCAACCGCTTCAGGCCAGAATTTACTAGGACGTGGAAAAGTGATGAAAAAGATAGGTAATGTAAAGAGTGGTAGAAGGGGTGCAGACAAGGCCGTGGCCACCAGTATAATACCCAGCACCACAGGGAACAGGATAATGGACAGGAAAATAATGACAGCTGTTGATCCTCGACGCTGTTTCTTGTCTGTCCAGGAAGATATCAAGAGAGACACACAAAAATATAACTTATTGAGGAACTGGAAAAACCTGTCTCTACACAGGCCTATAATTAGCGAGAGAATAGGTAATCCAAATTCTGCAACGGTGGAATTAGTACTGAGTGTGACTAGGATGAGGTGGGTGATGGACAGCTCAAGCAATGAATTGGGAGTACTCTGCCAGACCTAAAATAGAAAAAAAAAACAGTATTAAAATAAGAACAGTTATCAACATAATTTTTCCATACTAAGGTAATTTGCTGTATAAATTACAATCTACTTATGAATCATTGAGTTTTAAGAGATATCTATCTAAACTTCAGAAAGTTTTGAAATTTTCGTCCAAAGGAAAAATAAGGAATGAAACCAGTCTTTTCAGTTACAAAGATATATCAGAATTCTCAACCTATATTTTACAAGGTCAAAGAAAATTACTTGTATGAAACACCCAGAAAATACCAACATGGCAACATCATCATAATTCAAACTCAAATTCCATAAAACTAGGGCAAAATATGAACAAAAGAAAGATTTACACGGAGACTCCCGAAAATTTACAAGGAGAACAAGACCAGATGTTACGGAGGAGTAAGCTTCTGCTTCATCAACATCACTCGCCATGTAAACCTTGGTCAATCCAAGTAAGTTATGACACTTTTTCAAATGAGAACAAGATATACAGCAACCGAACCAACAGGCAAACTAACAAGCATTAAATACATCCAGCTTCATGTCGTATAAAAGAAATAGAATATTTCTCAATGAGATCACCATGGTGACCATAAAACATAATTTTCATCAACATACATCTTTCACACCCCTGTGTTACAAGCTTGTCAGTCACTTGACGACCTTTACACGAAAATCGTGATAATGGGAACAGGTCCTTGATTATAGAATCAACTGTGACATGTAAAGACAGCTGCACTGACTTCATTAAATATAGTGCTATATTTCAAGCTATACATACCCAGCGGAACACTCTGACCACACCAAAGATGTACCAGACTGATGTGTATGTAGATATGTCTGAACGCAACGACTTAGTGGTTGGATCTGTAGTTGTAACCAGTAATGAACAATATGCTAGCATGATGAGAGGAGCCACTGAAATCAGAACAATATCAAAATAAGGTCAACAGGATAAGAGGAGTGTCTGATGTAAGGACAATATATTGTACTAGGTGACAAGAGGAGCCTCTGATGTTAGGATGGTATGTTGTACTAGGCGACAAGAGGAGCCTCTGATGTAAGGACAATATATTGTACTAGGTGACAAGAGGAGTCTCTGATGTAAGGACAATATATTGTACTAGGTGACAAGAGGACCCTCTGATGTAAGGACAATATATTGTACTAGGTGACAAGAGGAGTCTCTGATGTAAGGACAATATATTGTACTAGGTGACAAGAGGAGTCTCTGATGTAAGGACAATATATTGTACTAGGTGACAAGAGGAGTCTCTGATGTAAGGACAATATATTGTACTAGGTGACAAGAGGAGCCTCTGATGTAAGGACAATATATTGTACTAGGTGACAAGAGGAGTCTCTGATGTAAGGACAATATATTGTACTATGTGACAAGAGGACCCTCTGATGTAAGGACAATATATTGTACTAGGTGACAAGAGGAGTCTCTGATGTAAGGACAATATATTGTACTAGGTGACAAGAGGAGTCTCTGATGTAAGGACAATATATTGTACTAGGTGACAAGAGGAGTCTCTGATGTAAGGACAATATATTGTACTAGGTGACAAGAGGAGTCTCTGATGTAAGGACAATATATTGTACTAGGTGACAAGAGGAGTCTCTGATGTAAGGATTGTATGTACTAGGTGACAAGAGGAGTCTCTGATGTAAGTGACTAGGTGATAAGAGGAGCCTCTGATGTAAGGATAATATATTGCACTAGGTGACAAGAGGAGTCTCTGATGTAAGGACAATATATTGTACTAGGTGACAAGAGGAGTCTCTGATGTAAGGATAATGTATTGTACTAGGTGACAAGAGGAGTCTCTGATGTAAGGATAATGTATTGTACTAGGTGACAAGAGGAGTCTCTGATGTAAGGATAATATATTGTACTAGGTGACAAGGGAACCTCTGATGTAAGGACAATATATTGTACTAGGTGACAAGAGGAGCCTCTAATGTAAGGACAATATATTGTACTAGGTGACAAGAAGAGTCTCTGATGTAAGGATAATGTATTGTACTAGGTGACAAGAGGAGTCTCTGATGTAAGGATAATATATTGTACTAGGTGACAAGGGAACCTCTGATGTAAGGACAATATATTGTACTAGGTGACAAGAGGAGCCTCTAATGTAAGGACAATATATTGTACTAGGTGACAAGAGGAGTCTCTGATGTAAGGACAATATATTGTACTAGGTGACAAGAGGAGTCTCTGATGTAAGGACAATATATTGTACTAGGTGACAAGAGGAGCCTCTAATGTAAGGCAATATATTGTACTAGGTGACAAGAGGAGTCTCTGATGTAAGGACAATATATTGTACTAGGTGACAAGAGGAGTCTCTGATGTAAGGACAATATATTGTACTAGGTGACAAGAGGAGTCTCTGATGTAAGGACAATATATTGTACTAGGTGACAAGAGGAGTCTCTGATGTAAGGACAATATATTGTACTAGGTGACAAGAGGAGCCTCTAATGTAAGGACAATATATTGTACTAGGTGACAAGAGGAGTCTCTGATGTAAGGATGGTATGTTGTACTAGGTGACAAGAGGACCCTCTGATGTAAGGACAATATATTGTACTAGGTGACAAGAGGAGTCTCTGATGTAAGGACAATATATTGTACTAGGTGACAAGAGGAGTCTCTGATGTAAGGACAATATATTGTACTAGGTGACAAGAGGAGTCTCTAATGTAAGGACAATATATTGTACTAGGTGACAAGAGGAGTCTCTGATGTAAGGACAATATATTGTACTAGGTGACAAGAGGAGTCTCTGATGTAAGGACAATATATTGTACTAGGTGACAAGAGGAGTCTCTGATGTAAGGACAATATATTGTACTAGGTGACAAGAGGAGTCTCTGATGTAAGGACAATATATTGTACTAGGTGACAAGAGGAGTCTCTGATGTAAGGATAATGTATTGTACTAGGTGACAAGAGGAGTCTCTGATGTAAGGACAATATATTGTACTAGGTGACAAGAGGAGTCTCTGATGTAAGGACAATATATTGTACTAGGTGACAAGAGGAGCCTCTAATGTAAGGCAATATATTGTACTAGGTGACAAGAGTAGTCTCTGATGTAAGGACAATATATTGTACTAGGTGACAAGAGGACCCTCTGATGTAAGGACAATATATTGTACTAGGTGACAAGAGGAGTCTCTGATGTAAGGACAATATATTGTACTAGGTGACAAGAGGAGTCTCTGATGTAAGGACAATATATTGTACTAGGTGACAAGAGGAGTCTCTGATGTAAGGATGGTATGTTGTACTAGGTGACAAGAGGACCCTCTGATGTAAGGACAATATATTGTACTAGGTGACAAGAGGAGCCTCTAATGTAAGGCAATATATTGTACTAGGTGACAAGAGTAGTCTCTGATGTAAGGACAATATATTGTACTAGGTGACAAGAGGAGTCTCTGATGTAAGGATAATGTATTGTATTAGGAAATATGGTATGTCATTGAAATAAGGACTAGTAGGAGCCCCTGAAATAAGGATGATATATTGCAATTGGAGACAAGGGGAGTTAAGGAGATGAAGACAATATATATTGAATAAGGAGATGAAGGGAACCCCTGAAATTAGTGCAATGTATTTTATTAGGTAAAGAGGGGAACTGATGAAATAACAACAATACATATTGTATTATGTCAGTATGACCAATTAGACAATCTTTGAAATTTCAGGACAAAATACCGGTAGTTTGTCTAAAGGATAACACAACATGTCACAGGTATGAATACAACTTACCCCAATTCACAATTACTCGGCGCAGAACACCTAATGGTTTTAATTTTCTTTTTCTGTCCTTAAACAAGTTTGTACGAGTAGCTGTTGGTGGAAATAACATATTTCTCCACAATCCTAGTATAATGTACACACTCTGAATATCTCTCAAAATCTTCTCCACTACACACAGTCCAATTATTACATATCCAAGAATCCTCCAAATACTGTCATCATTTGTTAAATTGTAATTGACAAGTCCTGCTAACACTCCAACAATAGCCAACATGATGAAATGGTACAGAAACTCCAACGGCCGCCACTTCCACAAAAACTGACATCTGTGGTTTGAGTTAATGGTATCCTGACTACCTGAGGCGACCTTGTTGCGAGTGTGGATGAAGGTGTGTAACTGGTCCCCGAGACTGCCAAGGTCTGTACTGAGGAGATAGCCACACAGAGCTGCCAGTAGCACGGACCCAAGACTCGCCGAAATGAAATAAGCACCAAGGTACACTCCAAGGGATAGTGTCAACAGCACGACAAGCCTAAAAGAACAACATATAAAACAATTTGCAATAACTTACATCATAAAAATTCTAATACATTCAATGTTTTAATTTCTACGAACACAACAACTCCACAATTTAATTTACAAACTTTCAAAATTTTCTCACACATATCCAATACAAATCCTGTAAGCATCACAAAGACATTGAGGTATGACTTACCGAACACCAGATGCACTAGTTGAACCCCCAAGGAGGTGTACATGTAGTTGTTCAAACAGCCAGTAGAAGACAGCATCTAAGGGTGGTAATATCCCAAGCATCCATAACAGTGGCAAGAATGAGAACAGAACATGGAGAGTTTGGTCTGTGGATAAGAACACTGTGGACAAGAATCTAAAATAAAAGAAAAGAGACAATGAATTATATCATAAGTTATGGTGCCACAATGTCATTTGGATTAAACTCCTTTTTAGTTTGTTTCATCTGATAATGAATTTTGTACTGAAAACAAGCCATCTGTATGTTTGGCTGAATTATTCTACATCCAAATGATTTATTTAAGATTGTAACTTTAAATGAAAATTTGTTTTTACTTATAATGCCTGTGTCTCATTTTTGAGGACCTAGTAGGGTGGCAGTATTCTTCAAAGTATAAATAGCTTTGGACTTACCTGTATAAGAGATGAAATGTGATACACAAAAACACATAAAATGGTCGCATCAGGGGAGACAACTCCCAACTATCTAAGGTCCTGAAAGTGGCAGGTTCTGGTGGGGCCGTGATGGTGAGAGGATACTGAGCCACACAAAGAGTGATCCAGCCAAAAGTATAAAGTATAACAGTCACCCCGGTGTTGTAACTGTACAAATCTCCTAGGGTTGTAGGTAGTAAGTACCACAAGGCAAGCCCACACATGCTTCCTCCTACCACTGAATGCAGCACAATATTAACCATGAATTTTTTTTTTGGCGCCACAAATTCAAATGTTTCCACACCACAACATGAAAAGAAGTCCACCTCATCATCCTCAGCCAGTAGATTTTTTTTCTTAATTGGTAGAGTTAAGTCTGATGAGTTCTGAAGCTGGACAGCTGTAGATATAATTTGTGTTATAAGTACAAAGGTGAAGATGAGACAGCCATACACGATTACAGCTATGTAATCTGTAACAGTACCTAGCTCCACAAGGAGGGTGAATACACCCCCTATCAGAAAGGGGATGATAAACAACAACACTTGATTCAGATACACATACACTGGAGCCTCATAGCCTAGTTTTAACTTAGGGCCTCCCAGGATGGTCTGAGGGAGGCGTTTGTAGAAAAAGTCTCGCTTGTATTCATTCAACAGAGGAATTCCTGTGCCCATTTTGTTTAATATTGTTTCTGTCTTCAATGCTGATGTTTAACTGCTATTTAACAGCCTATGGCACCTCTGGTTATGTAAGACTATGATAAAAGAGCACTTTACATCTTGAGATGTCAGGAGGCAAAATCCGTTGTAATAGTTCCTCAATCATTTTGATTAATGGGATGCATCACCTGTAGCACAAACAACACAACTAAATTAATAACAAAATCCTTCTTCAATACTGGTATATTGAAGCATTGTTTTCCAACAGCTGATTTTGAAATATGCCTTAGGTTAAGGAAATTGTAAAACTATTAAAAAATAATGTCATAAGTCAAGTAGAAGATGGATGTACATGGTTTAGTTATAACTCATGATAAGGAGACAATTTACATATTCTTTGGGCCAAACAAAACTATAATTTGGTTTTATATTGTTTAACATCCTGTTAACAAAACAAGAGATCCCAGAGGGATCTTGGCACCCACCATTGTTTGATCTTTATTTGTTCTTTGATGACTGGAATTTTTCCGTACATTTCTTTGCTCTGCTCTGTTTTCGCTCTTATTGATAAGAAATTTGAAAATTCCTTTGGTTGCCTGGAAGCCATTTTGTTTTTTGTAATCAGTCCCAAAATTAAACAGGCACAACCAGGAACCAAGAGGAACCTACATATAAAATCTGCTTGCTTCCTGAACTAGTTATGTACTTGAAAAATTCATGGTAGGTAAACAATTTCATTAAATTTTTGAAAGTGAACTGTAAGAATTTATCAATTTGATAAAAAAGTTTAACACTGATTAAACTTTCATAGTTTTGATCAAACAGTCACTGCATTGAAATTGCAAATTATCCTGTTTGGATGCAAATGAAATGAAAAGTTGAATAAGTTGGTTTCCATCAAATGATTCCTGTGTACATTTCTGATTTTTCTAATCTGGCACATGAAAACACTTTCGTAAGTGATTCTTACAAGATAACTGCATACAATGGTAGTATACCAAGTAAAGCAACCTATTCAAAACCTTACGCCTCATCAGGGCTACAAATCAATCCTATGCTTGCTGTTGGAACCAAACTGAAAGTATCAAATATATCAATAATATGTACTATGTGGGCCCTTGAATGAATTAATATGTATAGCATCTAATTAACACCTGATATGGGTAAAATGCTATCAATTGTATAATAGTTAAATTAAAAATCCTAATAACAGCATATTTTGCCTACTGATGTAAACATGTACATCTACTGATGATCAAACATGCACGTCTATATCTTATCCTTAAATGTAATAGTGTTCATGAGTAGAGAAGTGAGATACTACAATTTAACAAATTATATCCATTTAGTTTTAGAACCAATTTGAATTAAAAGCATGGATATCTATATATTTCATAGTTCCAAAATGTGGATTATTTTAGCCAGGTACAACTGGTGCTATAGTTATTATTTCTTAAATTTGGAGTTCTTTTCATGGATTTGTCACTTGCTGGTCCAATTTATATAAAAAAATTATGGTTGTTATATTGATATTAATTCCAATCAATATCTTCATTGTTTAATAATCAATTACTTCTTGACATCTGTGACCTAGTACTGCTTTCAAAAACTTGCTACAAAACTTAAGTGTAAGGTTTGCTTCCTAAATTAACACAAAAATTCAATGGTTGAACTATAAAATAATCAACAGTTCACATGTGCCAAAACCAGCGTTACTACATTCGGTCCTATATTCTTTGAATAAGCAAGCTAAAAACCAAATGAAACAGCTTTACAAAATTGTCAAAATCTGCCTTCCAAGTTAGCCATATCCAGATGGTATTTCTGATAGCTTTGTACTTCCACAAATTTTGTTATCCTTAGCTGCTTCAAAGCAATAAAATTCACTTACTTTGTGATTGTAAATCTCAAACATTAATTTAAAGTAACACTTTAGCTACCAAAAGATAATGTTTTTTCAACACTATAATTATTGATGAAGTTTAGAATTAAACAGACTTACTTCTGGTGTGTCAACATTTTTTCTCTATATTTTCAATCTATAAAACATCTTTCTAAAGTAGAAAAATGCATTAACATTTGAAATTCTGGAACTTCAAACTAATGAATGCACAAACAGGAAATGCCTTGGGCTAATAAATTTTACGTATTCATATGACTGCCATGACTAAAATTTGAAAAAAAAAAAATATTTTTATCTAAATTGGAAGGCATCTGTTCTGGTTTAGTTAAATATCTCTACTTACAAAAGTATATCAAACTGAACATTTATAGGAGTTAAAATTACTTTGTTTGAACATTTATTATACATTGTTGTCAAGTTCAACAATCAAGATAAGCTCTATAGAGGGGAAGTTACGATGCCGCTAATGGAAAAATTATTTTTGAATGTTGAAGGAAAATCCTTGATGGAAGACCAATATGCTTGATCAAATACAACTTGAAAGTCAAGCTGTCTGTGCATTCATCTACTGCAATATCTTTTTCTAAAAAAATTGTGTTTGAACACATATGAAGTCTACTCCATGTCAGACGATAGAGGTCATTTGATACGCTGTCTGTCAGAATGAAGGATTACAAGGTATGATTGTTCATGTTAGATATTACACATTATATAAGATACATGTACATTTAAATATAAATATATAATCACCTAGGACAAATATTGATTTTAAGTTAAGTTTATTAACGATACAGGATCTTATAAGATCCTCTTCATCGGACTCAAAAACATGACATAAAAATTTAAATGAATGTGAATGCAACGTTACTTGTTAATGTATCTGAGATCCATAATTATAGTCTATAGAGGAGTTAATGATTTTGCCAATATTTATCCATATTTTATATTACGTTGTTGGTTTTCAAAAACATGTGTCTAACTTCCAAATCAGCTAATTATCAAACCAATATCTGCTAATATGAGAATGTTATAGGCGAACATACTTCGTCAGAAACAGGCAAGTTGTAACACTCTCTGAATTAAAACTGTCTATAAACGTGCTACCTGTCTATTGTTTATGTTGACAACAAAACAGCATTTTGACAACCATTTCATTTACCTGTTCGTGTTTATGAAGCTGGTAATTTGATATATAAAACAGAAAACTATTTGCGCAAAGAACTATTAAAGAAGTCGACTGGCTTCAAAAGCGCTGCAGCCATTACCGTTTCTTGTCAGTGACATTTGGTACGCATTCCAATCCTCATCGCCATTGAGATGCTCTAACTATAGAAACGACAGAAAGTAAAATTCCGGAAATATCGTTTTTTATATATTTATTTATATTTCGTTGAGATAGAAATTCATTGTAGTGGGAAACAAATAAAAATATGATTTTTATTCACATACTAATTATATTAAACTTGAAATGATGACCAAAAAAGGGAAAAGAAGCTGAAGTTCGAATGAGATAATGGGTCAAAAATTTAGTTTCGAATATTTTTTCATTAGAAACTTGATATCACACACAGCAACAAATATTACCCTTTATTATTTAATCGATACATTTTCGTACTTAAATTTCCGACCACGAGTGGTAAACTTTCATTACGAATATATTTTCTATATCAGTTGCTAGCTCTTCATATTGAAAAATATGGCGGCTGCTGGAGTCAACATCTGCGTTGAAGCCGTGCAAGAAAACCAAATTCAAGAATGTCGAGTCGTGGAGAGGGCAGATGGGGATGGTCAGGAGATACAAGAAGTATATGTCCAGTACGTCACTTAGAGATAATCCATTTGTGTGATAGATGACTGTTATTTTCGTCAGTTCTGGGCAAGCTAGTGGCCTCAACAATATCCATTTGTTTGTTCGTCTGATAACCATAATAATATGAATTAGGCACTGCCTAAAAACGAGCACAAGTTGGTCAAGAAATTGCACATATTGAACAGCCTGATCCATGTTTGCACTGAAACGTGTTTTTTTTTATTTGTTGTATATTTCGCAAGATTTGAACAAAACATCGACACATACAAATGTACCAATATATCATCATCAGCAGCAGCAGCAACACATCTTCTTCTTCTAGAAAACAATGTATCACCATGATCAGGCGGTGGTTTGGTGGCACAGTTGTAACACACTTGTCTATTTCCTAGCCATTCTGGGTTCGATTTTCCGAAGGGATAGAAAGGATACAGGTTTCCTCCCAAAGTTAGACCCCTCTCTTGCTTATAACAAGTGTGATTTTTATAAGTTGAAATAACAAAGTTTCCATATGTAAGTAAGTCATGCACATACAATCATACACCATGAAGGCAGACAAAGAAGAACAAAACAAGGACGACAAGATAACGCAAAATGTGACACTTTCCCTTCGCGAAGCTGTTTAAATGAAAAACACACAATCATATATATATTAATATTACAACAAGTTAATTTCTATTTGCTATTTCTAATTGTTCCATACAAAGTATTGAAATGGAGAACTTCTACTAGAGTACTAGCTTGATGCCTGTACAAAGTATTGAAGTAGAGAACTTCTACTAGAGTACTTGCTTGATGTCTGTACAATGTTTTGAGTATCAGCTAATTACCTTGAATGGTTTAAGATAACTGGTTTGAAAAAAGTTTTGTGGTTTGGTCTATGTTTTCATGGTAACAGAAAAAGGATTTAAATGGCAATCTTCCCCATAGCAAAAGAGACTACTAGCTTATTAAGTGAAAACAGTTTTGAGCAATTACCTTGTCAGAGTATTGGCCCAGAAAAACTGAAATTTTGATGAGGGTAACAATGGTAACAATAAATGTATTAAAAAAGTCACTGACAACATATCTAGACTATAACAATTGATAAAAAAGATCTTCAAAATAAATGCATAAGAGTTTCCCTTTTAGAGTTACAGATATTGCAGAGAGGACTTTCTATCATCTTTGCTTTAAGAAAAGAAAGAATTTTGTCAAAGTATGGTGAAAGACAATATATTATAGTTTTAGTCGGATTTGTAAAGGTGGTGCTTATAGATTTAACAAGTTTTCATTATTAAAATCACAATATTCTCTCCTGCTGTTTTCTTTTCTCTTTGCTATTGAGAGTTTTCGTTCTGTTCATTAACAAATCATAAAATGCTTTAGAACCTTTGGTTTTTTAAGCAATTTAACTTGTCCTGGTAACAAAAGGAGGGTAAAGTTATAAACCCTGTTGAGACTATTCTGTTATACATTGTAATTAAGAAAATCGATATATATATGTTTAAATAAAATTCTTATGAAAGCCACAATATATTACACAAACAAACTGCATTATTCTGTAACCCAACCCACCCACCCCCCACCAAAAAAAAAAAATCCCCACTAATAGTTATTTTATCATTGTGCCTTATAAGTGTTTGCTGGAAATTTTCTAAACATTCAAATACACGATCATAATAAGTTATCGAAAGAACATCCTCATCTTGCAGAATTAATATAGTTAGGAGATGGGCGAGTTTTTCGTCAAATCGGGGCCTTACATCACTTTCCGTGAACGAGAAACACATCGTCTCGTTCACGGAAAGTGACGAAAGGTCCCAAACATTAAACCGGAAATCAGGTACATCAGAGCACAACCGAGCTCAAATCTTGAATGGTTAAAATTGCAATTTTTCAACGAGATATTTGTTATATATGTTTCAAACCAATAAAGTGTATGTTTGTTAAATTCATCTGAATTATTTAAGACTTTTAGTAAGATTTCATTTCTACATGAGAGCTCAAAACGATATTTTGTTGGTCAAAATAATTTTTAATCCATTCAACGGGTCGGCAGTTCTCATTGCGTACTGCGGCAAGTGTATTGTGGGTGTTCCTGCCACACTTCCGTTTAAGGTTGATCGTATGGGCAGGTTGTTTGAGTTGAATTATCACACACACACATAATACCATAAAGCGCTTGCTATTAGACACAATGTGTATAAAACATACTTGTTAACAGTTCCATTACCACCAAATGTGTCCTCAAATACGAAGTCCACATGTGACGTGGATAAACTGATGCAACAGAGAAATAAATGGCAATTTTCACGCCAATAAATTCATATTGAATCAACCTCGGAGACATACAATAACAATGAGACACACATATATATAGTATAATCAAATAGGCACTGCGAGTGCAAGTTGATCAACATGATGCACATTTTGAACTGCATGTGCAGTGGCTTCAATGAAGCAGGTTTTTTAATTACTTAAATTTTGCAATAGTTTAACAAGATACGCCAACATATTTGCATCTAACAAAGTCTTATGTTATCGTCTTCTTGATACAGGGATCTGTTATCTACGTCCCTGTTGATACTATATCATCAGATGTTGGTTGGGTAATGCAGTGGTAACTCTCTAGTCATTCACCTAGCTGTCGCAGGATTCGATACCCTGAGCAGATATGAATTATTTACGGTTCCTTCACATGCTTACAACAAGAGTGATTGGTATAAGTTGGAAAAAGTTATGTAACCCTGGTAAAATACTAGCCGCAATATACCACTCGGCTAGAGAGAACTTCTCTTTGACTTGATTGGTTGAGAGTCAGATAGGTAAGCCAGGGGTCCCAGGTTCAATTCCTAGCAGTGGTGTTGAAATAGATAATGACCTCTGTTACAGTTTCAAAAAAAATCCCCAAAGTTTCTATATAAAAATAACTTATGCAAATATAACCTGACAACATGATGGCAGACAAAAAACAAAACAAAAGACTTGAAAAGAGAGAGAGATGTAGAGTGAGTATACAAAAAAGTGGACACCAAAATTGGTAAGGGATTTTGAGGAAGGGGGGTAATTAGTTAATAATTGGCCTGGGAGGGAAATGGGGATGGCTGGTAACTGTGGTATAAGAAAAATAAATGTGTGGTTACATGTGACAACGATGTCAGAGACTGGAAACTGATGTAATGAAAATTACATCAATGTGAATTATGTTGTATTTTTTCATCTCTTGCTGTAGGTTATATCAATATATAACTTTATATCAATTGGATGCACTATACTGTTTTCTTGGGGTTTTTTCTCTTTTTTTTTCTTCCCCACATACACAAATTCATCTGTAAGCATGTGCCTTTTACTGCAAGCTTGGACTTTATAAGGAACAAGGATGGAACGTCATGATTATTGAATTAATGTTTAGTAAGTTGTGTACAGATGAATGGTTAAATTTGTAATGTTTCAACAAGTTTTTGTTTTGGTTGTATGCCATTTGAAACCACAAACGTATGTGTTTGTTAAATTTATTTTTTTATTTGAATTATTTAAGACTTTTAGTATGGTTTCATTGCCACACAAAAGCTTGAAAAGATATTTTTTCAGTCAAAATATTTTTCAATCTAGTCTACTGGTTGACAGTTCATATTGCCTGCTGCGATAAGTGTATTGTGCATAGTGATGTTCCAGTCACACTTCCATTTAAGGATGATGATATGGGCAGCCTAATTTTGTTGGTTTTGATTTACCAGATACCATACATAAAGCACTCGAGATTGCTGGCTTGCTATTAATCTGACAAGCAAGAGTGTGAGCTATCAGAGAAGACTTTGGTGAACATCATTGTCACAAGGTGTATGGGAGACAACTCCCATAATGATTTTAATTCCAGATAACCCAGACCAAAAACTAGCTTCAAATTCCTGTAGAATTTCTTTTTGGCTTAATTAGAAGAATGCTAGCCTCGTAAGGAAGAGGTCATAGGTCATTCCCTTGTGGATGTAGTGAAAAAAAAAATTTTAGACAAGGGGAAAATATGGATATGTTATCAAAATAGTAATTGAATTCAACAAAACCTTTGCAAAACATTAACAAAAAGCAAGAAGCAAAAAAAACTAATTAAGATTCAAACATTGACTCTCAAAAATTCACATTGAGGTGTGCTGGCAGGATAAGAGTAACAAGCATTCCTGTTAAACCCTGGAAGACACAAAGAGAAACTGGTAAAGTACTAGCAGTGTCCTGCTGACTCAGCTGGGTGTAATTTTTTTTCAGCTCATTCAGTAAAGTGATATATAGTCATGTAAGGTTTAGGGTTTGATCCCTAGTGGAGGTATAATATACAAGAAGTCACATTAGAATCACCTTAGTTATGTAATAGATGTTTATAGATGTCTTCCTTTTATTATCAATATGACATTGATTTTGCAGAGGAACAAGTGTAGTGTGGTCAATACTATGAGAAGCATATTAGCTCCCTTAATCACATGCAACCTCTTTTCTTTTCTTTCTTTTTTATTTCATACTAGAGATATTGGTTTATAAATCAATATTTGTCAATTTGGTGCAACTTTGAATACAAAACAAATTTAATGATGATCAAAGGACATCTAGTATTGATGAGTCTTGATGGACTAAATTACCTGCCTTGATATACATTTTCTCTGTTTCACATAATATGAATATTTTGTTCTTTACCATATTATTTTGTGTTTTATTATGCTCAATTCATTATGTTCGTTTTTTTATCAACCTGTCCATTAGCATGTCCCATTCTTTAAACCGGAAAATAGATTAAAAGGAAATCAAATGCGATTTTGTCCTGGTTGGTGAAAATCTTCTTTCTCAAACAAGTACTAGTATTAAGGGCTTCAGATTGTTGATTTACATGTTTGTTAAGTTTATTTGAAGTTTGTTTATAATATGTCTTCACTTCTGTATGAATGCTTTAAAGGATATTTTGCAGGTCAGGATAATCTTTTATATGCCAATCAAACATTGACAAGACATGTTATGGCACTGTCCATCCAACTGCCTGTGGTAAACTTTTATTTGTTGGCATATCTTCACTCCAAATTTGTTTTATATCATTTCATTTCAAACTTTGTAGGCTTAATCACTTCATGACATACATGAAGTTGTATTTACCTGAATGGCAGTTGGATTCATCTGTATTTGAAAAAGTTACTGCCCCTTGTTTGTTTCATAACAATAATCTTGTCTGGAGATTTCTATGAGTTTTCAATTGCTTTCTTTCAATCTTTGTAGGTTTTATAATTATGAGATAAATTATGTTTCCCAACATTACAGTTTGATTTAACTTTTTTAAAGGCGTTATTGCCCTTTGTTTTTTAAGCCTTTAACTTTTATATGGATATCTTCCTCAGTTTTTAACCACTAAACTTTGTAGGTTTTATAACCATCACATGAAATTGTATTTTTGTTAATTATGCCATTGTGATTTTGAACTTTGTATTTTTAGGAACCGTTATTGCAACTTTTCCTTATGTGTTTTTTTCACCCTTTAAATCTCGCTGGACACATTATGTATCTCTTCCCTAAGTTTTCATCCAATTTCTTTGGAACTTGTTAGGCTGCAATACCACATGAAATTCATTTTCAATTACAGTATGTATATTGATGTGCTTTGGTTTATCGTTGAAGTACAAAGGACTGTGTCCCCTCTTCATAGATTGTGACTCATTATTACCAATTTCCAATGTTAGTATTCTTGTTGGCAAAATAAATCATGAATACCGTTTCTCATAGTGGTGTTCTTGTTAATCAGTTTTGGAAATAGTACTCTGGTCCTTTCAAATTCAACCATTGCTTATATGTACATGACAGACTTCTGACTTGTTTCTATGTGGAATATCAGTCTCATGTGAAATTGAAACTTACATCTGATCCTATGCACAGTGTATATTTTTATACGTGTATCTGTATATTTAGTACTTAAGATTCATTAAAGATTGTAATTGTTTTTTACCATTTATTTTTCAGACCACTCTCCATGTCAGAGAACTTGAGTAAACTTGCCCACAAGATAGACTTTTACAAAGATGAATCTGATGACAAGAAGGGATCATCAGGTGATATTGACAAAGAAAGCGAGGACAAGAATGCTACATCATTCCAGCCATCACTCTGGCCCTGGGATTCTGTTAGAAACAAAATTAAGTGAGTGCAAAGTGTTTTTAGCAAGAGGTACAATACCTCTGAATATTGGGTTTTCTGACTCCTGTAGGGTGCCCTAATGTTTTAAGTTTTCCAACTCCTCAGGGATAGGTACTGAAATGACTGTGATAATACTTTAGTTTTCTATCTCCCTAGGGGTGCCCTGACAGAGATGAGTGTACTACTGGATGTGCTCAACATAACGAAGGAGAAGCGCTATATGATCCTAGACCAGGTGTCCCAGCCTCCACCTGATCCTAAAACTCAACTTCAACTCCAACTTCTCTCTAAGAAATCGGTATTACTTTTTATCTTACATTTCACCTCTTTACTTGTAATTTAACCATATATATTTCTTAACTGTAATGTACATGATATAACTCTTAAATATAATTTACATGATATAGATTCCTTAACAGTAATCTTCCTCGATACTCACTTTCGATCTGTGCACCCCTTGAATATTTCATGGCAAAATTGAAGGTTCCATGTGTGACACCTTGTGGATAAGATGAGAAGACTAGCTTGATACTTTGCTGTACACAAAACAAATGTCCAGTTTGCGTAACAGTGTCTTTGAAATTGGTTGTTGGTCTTTTGTAATCTTCAAAGGAGTGTATCAGTCTGTGATCGTTAAGCTTTTTTTTCTCCCGAAACCAGCTCTAGACCAATCAAATTACTTTGTTTGTGCCTTCAATTTTGCCAGGAAATATTCCTCGGGTGCAGGGATTGATAGTGATGTAACCTATGGAGTGTCAAGGATGAACTATGATTTACACAATATAACCTTCTTAACTGTAATTTACATGTATGAACAATGATAGATAGGTTCCTTTAAAATATGCACATCTTACTGTTGACCAACAGTCTGTATGTGTTAATTTTTGTGTTATATATAATAACACATACACACAGCACACCACATCACTAAAGAAGAAAAGGTTCCCACATGAATTGGTTGTGGTTGAAAAATGTTACAATGTCAGCCACAAAGTGAAGGATTGTCAAATGGGCCCCAGAAAGCCCCAGAATTTTGTGGAGGAGAATTAAGCAGGGGAGAAAGCAATCAAGCCAGTGCATGTTTTCTGCTGGATTGACTGACAGACAGACCAAAATTAACTTGGTCAAAGTTTTGCATGTATTTACAATTTACAGCATGGCTGAATTTTGCTGAAATCATGGCTATTAATATCACTTTTTTCGTAATTCTGAATAAAATTTTAATCATCAAACGTCTATTAATCTAGAATTCCACATTGGTGGAAGTGTTTTCCGCAATGTACTCTGTCAGTAACACACATTATTCTGCACTGTTTAAAACTATAATTACAGTCCTACATATCTCATCGCATGTTATTCTGATAAAATGTGGTCAGACATGATAACATGGGATCATGAATTATCAGTTATCGTACCACTTCAGGCGCTCAATGAGGCGACAAATGTGTTATTGAACGGGGCGGAGAGATTGCGGCGATCCCAATCAGAAATGGGTAGTAAACCACAGGGAGATTTTCACATAGAGCTGCTCAAACTCAGGCAGAACTGGCGACTTAAGAAAGCAGGCAAGCTGATACTAGGAGACCTCAGCTACAAGTCAGGTTAGTTTTTAAAACACAGGACGGGTAGTATAGTACTTCAGATTCTAGGAGACCTCACCTATAAAATCGCTTAGTTAGAGGAAAATGATTTTGTTTTGTTCCTGGTGTGATAGTTATAGTTGTGGGGCACTCTTCCTACAGAGATCTACATTGATTTATGGGACAGTAACATTTTTGTTTACAAATTTTAGAATTGAACATTCAGAGGAAGAGATTGATATTAGTTAAACTATTAAATTAAAATGATGTGTTGCTTTGTTAACATAGTGTTTTTAGAGTTTGTGCCATACCACTACGTCAGTCATCCGTTATCTGTTGTCCGTCAACTTTTCTTTCTTTTTCCTACTTGTCATAAATGACTAGATGGATTTTGACCAAATTTGGTCAGGAGTATCCTTGGGGGAAGGGAAATGGATTTGTGTAAATGATGGGTGTCAGACCTCCTGGGGCCTGATGGGCAGGGCCTAAAAAGGAAAATTCTGCAAGCTTTTTAAAATCTTTCTCATCCTTTAGGAATTAATAGATATTACCCAAATTCGGTCTAAAGCATTCTTGGGTGAAGTGTAATAGATTTTTATATACGGTGGGTCTAGGCCTCCTGGGACGGGCTGGGAGGGGTGAGACCCTGTAGAGGAAATGCTTTAAAATCCTACTCCTCCTGTAGGAAGGATTAGATTTTAACCAAATTTGGCATAAAGCATTCCTAGGAGAAAGGAAATACATTTTCTATAATAGCAGATCTTGACCCCATGGGATTTTTACCAAATTTGATCTGAAGTATTGTTTGAGGAACAGGAATTCATTTTGTATAAACCTTGGGGCCACAGGCCTGGTTCCTGAGATATGGGCTCAATAGGATAAATAGAAAAAAATCTTTTGAGATCCTTTTTCTTCTGTAGGAATGCCTGGGTTCTGTCTCAGTTTGGTGAAAGGCATGCTTTGGTGGAGGCAATCAATTTTGTATAAATGGTGTGTCTCAGCCTACTGGGCAAGAGGGGTGGAGCCGATTAGGGAAAATAAACCAAATTCTTTAAAATCCTTTTATTGGAATAATTCAGTTTTGCCCAAATTTGATATGAAGCATCCTTGAGAGAAAAGAACTGTGCATCTTACACTCCTTAAGAGTTTTTGAGGGTGAATTGTAAATACTTTTCCTTTAGTTTTAATGAAGCAATTTTAGCAAACTGAACAAGGTTAACGATACATGCCCCATGGGCCCCTACTTACTTGTTCATAATTCAATTAACTTTCTATTTGTCAATAGCTGGATCCCGATACTGGCAGGGAGGAACCTTTGAGGTCGTAAAGAGCACTAGCGTTGGGGAAGGTTCTGAAGCCTCTCTGCAGAAGGGAAGTTTGGAGGTGATCATTCCTAGTGAACTGGAAGGTGTAGCCTACATTCAGGTTGAGGTCAAGGTTGTTCCAGGTGAGTGTTTTTATAAACAGATCAGAGGTCCATGCTCTTACACTTGTGATATATTATTCTCCCTGAAAATGTTTAGTGGGAGTTGCTGCTGCATCTATCCATCTTTCTGTCCATCCCTTTGTGACTAGAGCATAACCCACATGTAAGCAAGTATTAGGAAACTGGTGTATACATTAGTGATACTAAAGCTAGAATTTCTTATCCAAAGCATAACATTGGCCACAGTGAAGCAAGGATCATGAAACTTTGTGTTTACAATATGCAGTATATTAAATACAGGGCCAGCAACCACTTAATTATACAGTTATGGACCTTTTCTTAATGTTTGTGTCCAATAAAGTTGTTTCAGGGAGTATTCATCAGTTTCACTGTTGTGTTAGAGATTTTGTCACTAACTCCTGGTAGTTTTCTGTTACAGAAGCCATGGATTTGATGAGTGCCATTCTTAAGATCCCTTCTGGCCTTGGCACCATACCCACCGATGCCTACTGGCAGCAAAAGCTCGAGGTGGCACAGAATGTTCTCTTCTGTAAAGAAATCTTTGCACAGGTTAGTAAAGAGTAATGATGTAAGCATGTGTTTGTATTTCATATTTGGCTTCTACCAGCAACCTAGATTTAATTTCTGTAATTATTGTAGCATGACATCTTTGAGAAAGTTTACACACACTTTTAGGTACAAGTATTAATGTTTGTATATTATAGTTGGCGAGAGAAGCTGTCCAGAGCAAATCATCAGTACCTCATCTAGTTGTTGGAAATCAAATCATTACAAATGTAAGTTTTTCTTCTCATTCATAATCACTCCCCCATTGACTACCAAGGATTTGTAAGATTCACCATCACAGTTCAACTTTTACTTTTATATCCCTGCCTCTACAGTGTACAACTTATTGTGTTCATTGTTGGCACAAGGGTTTACAACTAATGATTTACATATTTTCACTGCTATGTCAAAGATATCAGTCTTTGCATATGCAGAGGGGCTTTATATATAAAAAACCAAAATCCTAGTTTGTCACGATAAAACATTTTAAAACTAAACATAGAGTAGTATATATATATATATATAGTCAACCTTGGAATTAATTGATATTTGTCACAAACTTCAGTGGCATGTTTGTTGATAGGCTCTTTGTGAAAAAAGAATGGAACATGAACATTTAGATTTCATAGTTTGTTGTGATGTATACATGATTATGATGGCTGGCCAAAATACAAAAGACAAAGGAAATAGATGTTTCATCCTTGTATTTCTTAAGTTTACCTGCCTCTTATTTATTTTACAGCTATTGTGAAACAAATGATTTTAACTTATACAAATACTCTTGTTGGCCTGGATGTAAGCATGCAAGAGGTTTTATTTTGGGAGAAAATCGGAGTACCTGGAAAAAACCCACGTGGTTGAGCAGGTGACCTGTTACCTCTTTACATCTGTACCGGGAATCAAAACCTACACGGCTAGGTGAATGGTGTCACCTGACCACCCTCATGGAATTTTAGTGAATACCTATAGGTCTATAGAAGATTCCTACTACCTTTATCCACTGACACAGGATATTGGTTCTCCCCTTTTATAAAACATTCTTTACAAACTGTGTTGTGTCTATGGTCTCACTATCTGGGTGTATGTTCTGGGGAAAAATATGAGCTGAATTGATTTTGTTTGTGATATTGTTTTTAGACCAAAATCAAGAACAAGAAAATGCTCACTTTGATGATTACTTATACTAGATTTTTATTTTTAGATATTCCCAGGCATTCAGCTGTCAATTGTTTTGTGCCACTCCCCTGGGAAAGATAAAGATAAAAAGGTAAGTCCTATACCTCAATACCTCCTTGTCATGTTGATAACGTTTACAGATAAGATTACTTGTGACATGTGAAGTTTTAGCAATTATTAGATATGAAGTTATATGTTTTGATATTTTATGAAAAGATCTTTTATGGAAAATACCTAACCGTTTTATAGTGAAACTTCTTACCTACTGAAAAATTGAGTGCTTGTATTTACCTTCCGCATGTATTCATTGTCATCTTCCTGTCTTGTAAAATTTTACATGTTGTTAAAGCAGTCATCAGCCCCACACAAATTGGACCATAATCATGTGTTAGAGCACTCCCTCCATCAGCTTCTGCGGGAGCTCCACTACAAAAACATACACTTCTCTCCGCCACATCCTGTCACTGCTGTCATCGGCATCTCAAAGAAGCGACGCCTAGCGGGTCCCAATGCCCTTTCACGCTCAGAACTCACAGAAATGATAGAGAAGTATGTATAACATAATTTAATGAAGTTGAATCCTTCTGAAAAGACTTATGATTAAAATATAATGGCAAGTACATAATTGTCCTTCTCCACCAAATCCACCCAGGTATAGACATCACAGATTATGTGTCTCAGGAGGGACAGTACAGATTTTAAAACAATTCTTCTATAGGTAAATGGATACCTGTAGAAGATCATTAGATTTCATTTGCTCAATTTAAGCAGTTGTGTCATGATACCCATGTCTTTCCTATTTGGTACCTGTGAAATATCTTTGATAAGGTTGTGTTTTAAGGTCAAAGTTATTTCCACTTCTGCATGATGGTATGGCTAAGGAATTAATATCTCTGACTTATTCTAGTTTGAAGAACAAAGGTGTAATTCATAGATAAATGAGATCACAATGATATACATCAGAATCTGTAAGATGTTTTCTTTTACATTTGTTATATGATAATTCTTTTTTTTTCAGTGAAACTTTGCTTCATCAAATCATTAAACAGACTAAACACAGTGTTTTACGTCTCAGGTAGGTTCAGTATTTCTGCTTCATGTAGGTAGTGTTCCCACCTCAGGTAAGTACACAATGTTCTACGACACAGGTATGTATCATGTTTTACGTCTCAGGTAGGTTCAGTATTTCTGCTTCATGTAGGTAGTGTTCCCACCTCAGGTAAGTACACAATGTTCTACGACACAGGTATGTATCATGTTTTACGTCTCAGGTAGGTACAGTATTTCTGCTTCATGTAGGGAGTGTTCCTACCTCAGGTAAGTACACAGTGTTCTACGACACAGGTATGTATAGTGATTAATGCCTCAGATGGTAGTGTTTTATACACATGTAAGTACAGTGTTTTACACATATAGGTATACATTGTTTAGTGCCTAAGGTAAGTAACATAATGTTTTACTCTAAAAGATACACATTGTTTGATGCCTCAGGTAGGTATACATTGTTTTATACCTGTTTTATAGTATTTTACCCTACAGGTAAGTACAAATTGTTTACGCCTCCGAAAGATATACAGTGATTTACAGTACAGGTAGATATAGTGTTTTACACCACAGGTAGGTACAGTGTTTTATACTATAGTTAGGTACTCATTATTTTACACCACATGAAGATATACTGTGATTTACAGTACAGGTAGGTATAGTGTTTTACGACCACAGGTAAGTACAGTGTTTTATACTATAGTTAGGTACTCATTATTTTACACCACATGAAGATATACTGTGATTTACAGTACAGGTAGGTAGGTACACATTGTCTTACACCACAGGAATTAATACAGTGTTTTACACTACAGGTAGGTATAGTATTTGATGCCTCAGGTAGATACACAGTGTTTGTCATGTAGGTACAATGTTTGTCATGTAGGTACAGTGTTTGTCAGGTAGGTACACTGTGTTTGTCATGTAGGTACAGTGTTTGTCAGGTAGGTACACTGTGTTTATCAGGTAGGTACACAGTGTTTATCAGGTAGGTACACAGTGTTTATCAGGTAGGTACACAGTGTTTATCAGGTAGGTTCAGTGTTTGTCAGGTATGTGACAGTGTTTATCAGGTAGGTACACTATCAAGTAGGTACACAGTGTTTTTTTGTTTTGTTTTTTTTTTTCTTGTAATTTTTTATGTTTAAGCATTTTTTACAAGTATAGTGAACAGTACATAAGCATACACACTCCACAAACAGAAACTTGCATACGTGTATAAGATTGCAACTATTTGTGAATCAATAACTTAATTATATTGTAGATAATATCCTAGTTTACACAACATTCTTATCCTCATAGTTGCCATCAGCATTAGAATATTGCGATAAGGATTCATCCATAGATAGATAATTAAAAAAAATATGGTTTACAAAAACCGATTACCATTTCTATATACACAACGAAACACATGCCTTTGTCATCTTTATCACACACACACACACACACTTTCCTTCCACACAGAGAGACAGAGAGACAGAGAAAAAGAAAGAGAAGGAAAGAGTGGGGGGGTAGGGTTTATTATGTAGGTACACAGTGTTTATCAGGTAGGTACAGTGTTTGTCAGGTAGGTACACAGTGTTTATCAGGTAGGTACACAGTGTTTATTATGTAGGTACACAGTGTTTATCAGGTAGGTACACAGTGTTTATCAGGTAGGTACATAGTGTTTATCAGGTAGGTACACAGTGTTTATCAGGTAGGTTCAGTGTTTATCAGGTATGTGACAGTGTTTATCAGGTAGGTACACTATCAGGTAGATACACAGTGTTTATCAGGTAGGTACACAGTGTTTATCAGGTAGGTACACAGTGTTTATCAGGTAGGTACACAGTGTTTATCAGGTAGGTACACTATCAGGTAGGTACACAGTGTTTATCAGGTAGGTACACTATCAGGTAGGTACACAGTGTTTATCAGGTAGGTACACAATGTTTTTCAGGTAGGTACACTGTTTATCAGGAAGGTTCCAACAATGTTTATCAGGTAGGTACACTGTGTTTATCAGGTAGGTAAACAGTGTTTATCAGATAGGTACACTGTGTTTATCAGGTAGGTACACTGTGTTTATCAGGTAGGTAAACAGTGTTTATCAGATAGGTATAACACAGTCTTTCTGATTCCACCTTCTCATGTTTTGTAGTAATTTTTCCTTCTAACTCAGAAGTAGGTTGTTTTAGGTTTTTTAAATAAATGTATATTTTGTATGTTACCAAAGTGTTTTATACATGATAAATAGTTGTAACTATATTAGGAATGTCTTGAGTAAGGGAATGTTTGACAAACAAACCAGTACTTGAGTAGACTATGTCAAAACTGCTACAGTGTTGTATAGACAAAGAGGATGTTGATACAAAGTCTATAGTTGAAATACTTGGTGTCTCTATTATGATAGTATGCTGTATCTTTACCTTCACAGAACCATGAAGACTATAGATCACTATGCTTCAACACAGAAAGATCCCAACTTAGCCACTCACTGGAACTGTACCAACAACAGTCTGGAAGCAAGCTGTCGAGTTGTGATCACCTCCCAGGGATATGATCTGCGGTAGGTCGCCTCGTACTAGATCACCTTGGAACGTTCAGTTTTATGTTTCAGATTCTTATGTATGTATTGTCATGTATTAATCTCCAGAAACAGCACATACTTGGATGGAAATCATTCTTTATGGGTTCTTTCAGGATAGACAAACCTGGTAAAAACTTGGCGATGAAAATGAAGTTGATCACAAAGTCGGGAGTCTATTTGACGGCTTATATATACAACTTATATGATATATACTTTCTCTTTGCTTTAACCTTGATGCCTTTGTACAGGGTGTGGCACAGCTTTGTGTTGAACATTGGAGTGGATATGGTAAAGGCTGTCACTCGTGAAGGACGTGTTTACACATTCTCCTATGAGGAACGTGAACTGGAGGACTTTATCATGTGGCAGGTAAACTTATCAGAACAATCCATGATGTATATGATAGATGTTGGTTAAGCTTGTGTCTTTTTCCTAGGAGATTTTATTGTAGTTAGAAATTTTTTTTATGAACCTTCGACATATTACAGCAAAAACAAAAGCTGCATAACCCCCAAGGAAATGGATACAACTTCCTTCTCATTAGTGTATTTATTAAGATCCTAATTTTGAATAATTGCTCTTCAATCTTGTTTTGTCCACATATCTCTCACTTTTAAATGATCTTTGAAATCTATAGGAATTACCATCTTAAAATGTGGTTGTGTTTCCATGACAGTTTTGCCATTTTAATTGGACAGATTGTTTAGAATTCATTGCTCTTTGTTTTTTTATTGTTCAAAATCATAAAGAAACCTGTTTTACTGTGTCGTTGTCTCTATATGATATCAACTTTTATAATGTGAAGGTATGTTCCATCTCTTTTTATTATAAAACTGGATGTCACAATAGAATATGTTACTGAAATGAGCTCTTACAGTCGATATCATGTACTTGAATTGTAAAAGTATTTTTGTGGTCCTGCCCACACTTTACACCAAACATTCAACATCAGAAACCTTGAAGTTTTCCTACAGTCCCAACTACTTCGAGCTTACGAGGTTCGACTGTATTTGTCAGTTAACAGTTTTGAATCTCACTTTTGAAGATGTCAACAGAAAGATAGATGTAAATGTTCTTATCCTCACTGAAACAAAGCTGAAGGTGGTTTGGTGGGGTTGGCTGGAATTGCCCTGTTTTGGTTTCTCTTGTCTGCAGATGTTGACAGGAAAACTACTCTTATACTTGGGAACCAATTTCAAAGAAACTCCACATGTATGTTACAGACTTTGTATTGATGTCATGTAGGTTTTTTTTTGTAGAAATTTTAGTGGTGAGAGTTTTGAAGAATAGTAATTACAATGGTACTTTTTTCCAAAATATTAAATATCATTTTGTTGCTATGGTAACCAAATTAGACCAGTGTATATACATATAGTTGTGTTTGTATAATGATCCGTAGTTCATAGGTCCTTTTATTCAAACTTTATTGGTCAAAATTGAGGTCCAATTAAGCTGTAAATTTGTATGTACCTGGGATGGCAAGACATTGGTAATATTTTCCAGAACATGGTTCCTCTTTGGTCCCCATGGTTATCAAGAAAGACTTCTTGTTGGACAAAATCTTATCCAAACTGCTACTCCTAACAGTGTAAATCATGAACCTTATTCAATGAAAATACTTACACTTAAGAATATTAGAAACCATATATAGATGTGTATGCTCTTTTTGTACCTGCTTTAATGGTGGATATCATTAAAAATTTAATAAGACACTGTGGTCATTGGAAATGAAATTAAAACAGTTGATGTAAATTGTTTTGTCTCTGTTGGGGTATTAGTCATCCTGGATGACAATTCTAATCATTTACAATGTTTCTGTATATCCACACATGTTTGCCAGTGAAAACAATCTTCATTACTGCTGATATAACATTTGACCAATCATAGTGGTGATTTCTAGTCTCTACATGTGGTTTGTAAAAACTAATTAACACTTACTAGACAATGTCTTAAATTGAAAGAATACCACATAAAGCAGCCTATCTATTCAAAGTGCTGTTGACTTGTCAAGTGTAACATCAGACATCAAAGAATGGGCTAGTATTTCCAAACTTTTTTAACTCTGGGTTTATTTTGTTTTAAAAAGTTAATAAAAGAAAATGTAACGATTTCCCTTTAGGTATCATATTTCACTTTTTTGATAGGATAAATGTATATAATTCATTCTTGGTTCACATTCATGAAAATCCAGATATTTTGTCATTCTGGAGAAATTAAATCATTAGATATCCTCTATATACTGTTTGTGTTTAAATGTCATATCAACAGCTACAATGGTATTGTTTACAGATATCACAACACCAGTTAAGTGTTTCCCAGAACCTAGCACGTATGATGGGGTGGCAGATGCTCAGTACCAGTACAGCCCTGGGAGTCGGGGACATGGAGGATGTGGGTACAGCTTCCTCCTTGGTACTTGCCTCTCCAAACCATGACAGGTACACATCTACTTTCCATGAAAATTTATTTTCTTAGTTCTTAATTCATCTTCTTGTTGGTAGTCAAGCATTCATTTTTCCTATTTTTCTGATATTTTTAAGTACAAAATTCCATCAGATTTTATCAACTATAGATTTATGCTTACCTTTTTAGGGTGCTAGCGATCAAAAGTGGACCAAGTAGTGGTGTGAAGGTATTCCTTCAGTGTCATTCAAAAGATCACAATGGCAAGAACAGGGCTGTATTAAAGGACATCAAGTGGCAAAGCGTAGGGACAGACTTTCAGTCTGTCGACCTGGCGCGGTTTGATGGACGTAGCTTTGCATCTAAGTTTGAATTGTTACTGGCAGTGCTTACAAGATCATCAAAGGGATAAATTAATCTTCTGTTTTTATGTTATGGTATGGTATGCTAAAAACTTGGGAAGAAACTGTGCATATAGTCTGACAAATAAGTGGTCGATGAATAATCTGACAGGCAGCCAGAGAATATTCATTGGACAAGCAGGCAACAGTGAAAACAGGTGGCTGTGAACAGTTGTCAGACAGGTGGATGTGAACAGTTGTCAGACAGGTGGCTGTGAACAGTTGTCAGACAGGAAAGCAGCCTGTGAACAGTTGTCAGACAGGTGGATGTGAACAGATGTCAAACAGGCAGTCATGAATAGCTGTCCTACAAACAGGTAGCTGTGAAAAGTTGTCTGATAGATGGGACGTAAACAGGTTTCAAACAGGCAGTCATGAATAGCTGTCCTACAAACAGGAAGCTGTGAAAAGTTGTCAGGCAGCCTTTGAATAGTTGTCAAACAGATGGCCTGTGAACCATTGTCAGACAGGCAACCTTTGAATAGCTGTCAAACAGATGGCCTGTGAACAGTTGTCAGACAAACAGGCAGCCATAAATAGTTGATAATCAAGTAGGTGGTCATGACTAGATGTCAGACAAACAGGTGGCCATGAGCAGTCTTGCATGCTTGTTGAATAGAAAAATATGTTTTTGAGGAACATGGTAACTTAGATTTACGGAATCTCATTATTTTGTATTTCTGGAAAAAGGTAAAACTTTTAAAATAGGTCATTGTTAGTGTGTACTAGTGAAAAAAACTATTGAGAAAACATTAAATTGAATTGAAAGTATTACTGCAGACAAGAATACTTTATTATTTTCATTCAATAGGAAGAATAAAACTCTACCCTTGCTGTGTAGGAGGAAGGCTTTCAATTAAAGCAGTTATTTTACTGAAAATATGAACTTTAGGTTTGGAATTCTGTTCACAAGAACTGTTGAACACATACAATAAAGAGGATACTGTTTTTCTTCGTTATTGTCGTTTTGATGTTTAGGATGTTGTGTTAGATATTTTGATACTGCTATCAAAGTTCATATCTACATAATTATGAGTTTCAATCTGGCCATTCATAATTTTTTCAGCTGATATGGAATGTTTTCTGTTGTCTGTTGATCTTGATGGATTTTGTATCCTATTAACTCCCAGGATCATTAAAGGACAGGATTTAGGTGGTAGAGAAAAGCTGGAGTTCCCTGAGAAAAAGGCTTTAATCTGGCAACCCAGAGATTGTGGACTTGTATTACAGGTGGTCAGACATCTTAACAACCCAGACATCATGGCCTCTGTCCAAGCTGGCTGGACAAACATTAACATTTATACAGAAGTAGGCATGAACCAATAAACTAGTTGGTCTGTTGTGTAGATAATCTAAATCCAGCCTTGGTGAGTTCTGGTGAAGTGTTATTGTGCTATCCTAATATAAATCGTTTTGGTGAGGCTTGGAAGAGTAATACTCTATGCCTAACAAGCTTGCCTTAGTGAGTACTGATGGAGGACTATTCTCTTTTCCTGACAGTATATCTTGGTAAGTATTGATGCAGTTAAACTTTCCTGCTAAAACCGTCCCTGGTGACAACTAGTGAAGCAGTACTCTCTATTTGTGACAAATTTTACTTGATAAATACTGGTAGATAGATACTGGTAGATAAATACTCTCTAATCTTTACTTGATAAACACTGGTGGATAAATAATTTCTAATCCTTACTGGATAAACACTGGTGGATAAATACTCTCTAATCCTTACTGGATAAATACTGGTGGATAATAGTCTCTAATCCTTACTGGATAAATACTCTCTAATCCTTACTGGATAAATACTGGTGGATAAATACTCTAATCCTTACTGGATAAATACTGGTGGATAAATACTCTCTAATCCTTACTGGATAAACACTGGTGGATAAATACTCTCTAATCCTTACTGGATAAATACTGGTGGATAATAGTCTCTAATCCTTACTGGATAAATACTCTCTAATCCTTACTGGATAAACACTGGTGGATAAATACTCTCTAATCCTTACTGGATAAAAACTCTCTAATCTTTACTGGATAAATACTGGTGGATAAATACTCTCTAATCCTTACTGGATAAACACTGGTGGATAAATACTCTCTAATCCTTACTGGATAAACACTGGTGGATAAATACTCTCTAATCCTTACTGGATAAATACTCTCTAATCCTTACTGGATAAATACTGGTGGATAAATACTCTAATCCTTACTGGATAAATACTGGTGGATAATAGTCTCTAATCCTTACTGGATAAATACTCTCTAATCCTTACTGGATAAATACTGGTGGATAAATACTCTCTAATCCTTACTGGATAAACACTGGTGGATAAATACTCTCTAATCCTTACTGGATAAATACTGGTGGATAAATACTCTCTAATCCTTACTGGATAAACACTGGTGGATAAATACTCTCTAATCCTTACTGGATAAACACTGGTGGATAAATACTCTCTTATCCTTACTGGATAAATACTGGTGGATAAATACTCTCTAATCCTTACTGGATAAATACTGGTGGATAAATACTCTCTAATCCTTATTGGATAAATACTGGTGGATAAGTACTCTCTTATCCTTACTGGATAAATACTGGTGGATAAGTACTCTCTAATCCTTACTGGATAAATACTGGTGGATAAATACTCCCTAATCCTTACACACCTGCCATAATGTGAACAGGAGTAAAACTGATAAGCCCACCTTGGTAAGTACTGTTGGTGTAATCCGCTACTGACAATTCTGTCTTGATGAATATTTGTGGAGCAATTTCAAAGTAACAGGTATTTGCTGAGAGCAGTTTATGTACCGGTATATGATCTTGCATCATGTTTATTCATCTGATTATTACTGACAAACTTGCCTTTATTTGAGTTGTACTAATACTGACTTACACTGATAAACCTGCCTTTGTTAATGCTGTACTTACACTGACTATTACTGACAAACCTGCATTTGTTAGAGTTTAACTAATATTGAAAATTCCTGACAAACCTGCCTTTGTTTTAGTTATACTGACTCACCCTGACAAACCTGTCTTTGTTAATGCTGTACTTATACTGACTCACTCTGACAAACCTGCTATTGTTAGTGCTGTACTTATACTGGCTATTACCGACAAACCTGCCTTTGTTAGAGCTGTACTAATACTGACTATTCCTGACAAACCTGCCTTTGTTAGTGCTGTACTAATACTGACTTACACTGACAAACCTGCATTTGTTAGTGCTGTACTAATACTGGCTATTCCTGATAAACCTGTCTTTGTTAGAGCTGTACTTATACTGACTTACACTGACAAACCTGTCTTTGTTAGAGTTGTACTTATACTGACTATTACTGATAAATCTGCCTTTGTTAGAGTTGTACTTATACTGACTATTACTGATAAATCTGCCTTTGTTAGAGTTGTACTAATATTGACAATTCCTGACAAACCTGCCTTTGTTAGAGTTGTACTAATACTGACTATTCCTGACAAACCTACCTTTGTTAGAGCTGTACTAATACTGACTATTACCGACAAACCTGCCTTTGTTAGAGTTGTACTAATACTGACTATTACTGACAAACATGCCTTTGTTAGAGCTGTTCTTATACTGACTATTACCGACAAACCTGCCTTTGTTAATGCTGTACCTATACTGACTATTACCGACAAACCTGCCTTTGTTAGTGTTGTACTAATACTGACTATTCCTCACAAACCTGCCTTTGTTAGAGTTGTACTAATATTGACAATTCCTGACAAACCTGCCTTTGTTAGAGCTGTACTAATACTGACTATTCCTCACAAACCTGCCTTTGTTAGAGTTGTACTAATATTGACAATTCCTGACAAATCTGCCTTTGTTAGAGTTGTACTAATACTGATTATTCCTGACAAACCTGCCTTTGTTAGAGCTGTACTAATACTGACTATTACCGACAAACCTGCCTTTGTTAGAGTTGTACTAATACTGACTATTCCTGACAAACCTGCCTTTGTTAGAGTTGTACTAATACTGACTGTTCCTGATAAACCTGTCTTTGTTAGTGTTGTACTAATACTGACTTACACTGACAAACCTGTCTTTGTTAGAGCTGTACTTATACTGACTTACACTGACAAACCTGTCTTTGTTAGAGTTGTACTTATACTGACTATTACTGATAAATCTGCCTTTGTTAGAGTTGTACTAATACTGACTATTACTGACAAACATGCCTTTGTTAGAGCTGTTCTTATACTGACTATTACCGACAAACCTGCCTTTGTTAATGCTGTACCTATACTGACTATTACCGACAAACCTGCCTTTGTTAGTGTTATACTAATACTGACTATTCCTCACAAACCAGCCTTTGTTAGAGTTGTACTAATATTGACAATTCCTGACAAACCTGCCTTGGTTAGAGCTGTACTAATACTGACTATTACCGACAAACCTGCCTTTGTTAGAGTTGTACTAATACTGACTATTCCTGACAAACCTGCCTTTGTTAGTGCTGTACTTATACTGACTATTCCTGATAAACCTGCCTTTGTTAGAGCTGTAGTATTACTGACTTACAATGACAAACCTGCCTTGGTTAGAGCTGTACTAATACTGACTATTCCTCACAAACCTGCCTTTTTTAGAGTTGTACTAATATTGACAATTCCTGACAAACCTGCCTTTGTTAGAGTTGTACTAATACTGACTATTCCTGACAAACCTGCCTTTGTTAGAGCTGTACTAATACTGACTATTACCGACAAACCTGCCTTTGTTAGAGTTGTACTAATACTGACTATTCCTGACAAACCTGCCTTTGTTAGTGCTGTACTTATACTGACTATTCCTGGTAAACCTGCCTTTGTTAGAGCTGTAGTAATACTGACTTACAATGACAAACCTGCCTTTGGTAGAGCTGTACTAATACTGACTATTCCTGACAAACCTGCCTTTGTAAGTGCTGTACTTATACTGACTATTACCGAAAAACCTGCCTTTGTTAGAGCTGTGGTAATACTGACTTACAATGACAAACCTGCCTTGGTTAGAGCTGTACTAATACTGACTATTCCTGACAGACCTGCTTTTGTAAGTGCTGTACTTATATTGACTTACACTGACAAACCTGCCTTTGTTAGAGCTGTACTAATACTGACTATTCCTCACAAACCTGCCTTTTTTAGAGTTGTACTAATATTGACAATTCCTGACAAACCTGCCTTTGTTAGAGTTGTACTAATACTTACTATTCCTGACAAACCTGCCTTTGTAAGTGCTGTACTTATACTGACTTACACTGACAAACCTGCCTTTGTTAGTTCTGTACTTATACTGAATTACACTGACAAACTTGCCTTTGTTAGAGCTGTACTAATACTGACTATTCCTGACAAACCTGCCTTTGTAAGTGCTGTACTTATACTGACTTACACTGACAAACCTGCCTTTGTTAGTTCTGTACTTATGCTGAATTACACTGACAAACCTGCCTTTGTTAGTGCTGTACTTATACTGACTTACAATGACAAACCTGCCTTTGTTAGATTTGTACTAATACTGACTATTACCGACAAACCTGCCTTTGTTAGTGCTGTACTTATACTGACTATTACCAACAAATCTGCCTTTGTTAGTGTTGTACTAATACTGACTGTTCCTGATAAACCTGCCTTTGTTAGTGTTGTACTTATACTGACTATTACCAACAAACCTGCCTTTGTTAGAGCTGTACTAATACTGACTATTACCGACAAACCTGCCTTGGTTAGAGCTGTACTAATACTGACTATTCCTGACAAACCTGCCTTTGTAAGTGCTGTACTTATACTGACTATTACCAACAAACCTGCCTTTGTTAGAGCTGTACTAATACTGACTATTACCGACAAACCTGCCTTTGTTAGAGCTGTACTAATACTGACTATTCCTGACAAACCTGCCTTTGTTAGAGCTGTACTAATACTG